CCCCTGCATCCCCGCCCCTTCCTTTCCCGCCCTCCCTTGCGCTACGGGGCCGCCTGCGCCGGCCCGCACGGGGCGCGCGCTGGAGTCGTTGATCCTCTCAGGATCTCTGGTTGGGAGACCTTTTGAAATGACAGGGGGAGGGCAATTTTCCTAATCCCACCCCCTCCCCTCTCTGCTCCCTCTTGCACTGAGGTTTGAAGGATCGAGGACAAAATTAGGCCTTTTTAATTCTACTTTGGAGTATGGTTTCATCTTCAGCAAAAGTCTCTCATTAATATCCCCCCCATCAGGAAAATGGTCTGTTCCGCGGATCGGTAATGGAGGCGGGGCCGATCGGGTCCTCCAGAGTAGGTTCCCGGAGGAGTGCTGGGTCCGTCCTTGATCATGAATATGCAATTTCTCGTTGAATATGCATGAACAGATCAAGATGGCGAGTTCAATCGTTTGTCCGGAAGTAGGCGGTATTTGTCGAGCGGCTTTCAGGAATGAGTGGGCATCTCCTGGTCTCTAATCGAGCGCTGAATTCAGCTTTGGTGCTGGATCCTCAGGCTGAGCCGTTCGAAGAGGCCTCAGCTCAGAGGCCTGCTCCGGAAGGAGGCTAGCCACTGTCTGGGAGAGATCACGGGACCGCAACAATCCGGGAAAAGCAGATTAGCCATAGGGCGGAACACGAAAATCCTAGGGGATTTGGCGGGGGGGGGGGGGGGGGGGCGGTTGGGTAGAGGGGAGTGTCAAGGAATCTGAACATTAGGAAATCCTCCACTTTATAGAATATTTCAGAAATAAGATTGGTGGGGCGGGGATCCCAAGGGATTCTCCAATAAGAGAGGTGTAGGACTTCCACCCTCCCTCTAAAGCAGAGATGACACCGACTGCATAGCCACATTCAGAATGATCCTTGTTTGATGTCAGTGTCACGTCATCACCCTGGGAGGGGGGCACAACCACGAGGAAAGGAAACCATCGCCTAAGGAAAAAGGCACACTCCCCTCCCCCAGTGCAGCTGCTGGCTCTGTCTGTTAGCCTGAATGCCCGCTGCTGGCACACTTCTGCCCCAATGCTCTTCTCTGCTGCAGTGGGGAATCCTCCCGGTGGCCCACAGCCAGCCTGCATCAGCCCCTTGGATCTGAGACCTTACTCCTTATAGTTGTGCCCTGATTCACAGGACCCAGCCTTGACTCCATATCCCTTGGTCCCCAGGCTTGTTCCAGATCTTCCGAATATCCCTCTCCACCTTTGACTCTGAGGGGTGTCCCTCTCCCACACCAGTTGTTCTCCAGGCACTTGTATGCCCATATTTGTATTCCAGTCTCTCCTCGTATTTACCCCTGTCCCCCCCCCCCACCCCCAGGCTCTCAAGTTTGATGGCATTCCTCAACCTGCCCTTCCCTCTTACAGCTGAGGTTCTGGGCAGTGATGATGGCAATGCTGCCCAACATGACCCCTGCCCCCATGATGTCAGAAGGTGCCACAGTTTCATAGAGGACATAATACTGCAACATCAGGGCCACTACCACCTCAGAGTGCAGGACAGCGCACACCAGGGCAGGGTGGGCCTTGGTGACTGCATAGCTCACACACACAAAGGAGACCAAAGCAAGGATCCCCACTGCTCCCACACAGCTCCAACTCAGAGGGTCATTGGGTAGCACAGGGGTCTGTAGCAGAAAGAGGCCTGGCACAGAGCCCAAAAGCCCCACCAATCCAAATAGGAAGGCCACTGTTGGTAGGCAGGAGGGGAAGTTCAGGGAGCGGTAGACCTGAAGCCGCAGTGATAGAGCCAGACCTCCTAGGAAAGCCAGCACATAGCCTAGGGCAGTGTAGAGGTCTGTGGTCCCCTCCTGCAGTGTCCCTAGTCCAGGTCCCACAATGATGATTAATCCCAGGGTGCTACCCAACAGGCCACACCAGTCGTAGCCACTGAGACCCTGACTCTCAAGGCAGAGGGTGAGGAGAGCGGAGTACACGGTAGAAGAACCTTTACGAACAGTGGCAGCATTGCCAGCAGGCACCACTTGAACCGCAGTGTAGGCACATCCGATGCTGAGGACGTTGAGCAGAGCATGGAGGAAGGCCCAGCCCCGGACATCAGGAGGTCCCAGCAGTGGGTCACCACGCAGCTTAAGTAGCAGGGCAATGGGGAGGTGGAAGAGGCATTGACTGATGAGCAGCTCCAGCGAAGGCAAGCGGGAAGCCTGGTAAGCCACGCGGGAGAAGAGGCCTATGAAGCCAGCAGGTAGGCCCCCACCCAGCAAGGCAACAAGCAGGCCCTTGGTTGCATCCGAGGGCCAGCAGCGCTGGTTCGAGGGGAGGTTGGGCGGAGTGGAGGCCGGCGATGGCTGGGTGATGTCCGGCAGGTTGCCAGCCTGTTAGGGAGAAAAGAGCTCGAGCATGAGGGCAATCACAGCCCAAGGTGAATGCCAGGCTGGGGTCTGGGACCCTGCAGAACTCAAAGGACATAAAAGATCCTGACAAATAGATGTAGTGGTACAATGTGGGCCTTTAGCATCTAAAGCAGGAAGTCGGGAGTGAGTGGTGCAGGAGTATGAGTATCCTGTTTTTCTGGGTAGTTCAGTCTTGAGAGGAGAAAAAGAAGGACCCAGGGATGCTGTGTTGATTTGAGAAAGCGGAGGTAGCTTCTGATGCTGTGTAGATGCTGTGTATCTGTGTGATGTCACAAGCTCCAGGGACATGTGGGTACATCATTATGAGTTTCATTTTTATGTGTCTCTAGGACCACTGGCAAGTTTTAGGGGAGAAGAAGGGAAGTTACCAGCAGCAGAATGTTGTATTCTCTATGCCCCTTATGCCCTCTGGCCCCTATACTCACCATCTTTCCTTGGACTTCCTCCTCTCCTACTGGCTCAGGGGGCCTGAGCCCCTCAGAGCTCCAGCCATTGTGACCTGGTTGGAGTGGGGGTGGAGTTCTTCTCTGGAACCTTCCTGGAGTGGGGTGGGGCTATCTTCTCATGAATTCCAATTCTGCTTGTTTCATCTTTGTTTCCATGACTCCAAAGTGTGTCTGATTCCCTCTCTCTCTCTCTCTCTCTCTCTCTCTCTTTGTGTGTGTGGTACTAGGGATTGAACTCCAGGACTCTCTACCACTGAGCTACATCCCCAGCCCTTTTTATTTTTTATTTTGAGAAAACGTCTTCCTAAGTTGCCAAGGCTGTCCTTGAACTTCCAATCCTCCTGCTTCAATCTCCCAGGTCCCTCAGATTACAGGCATGAGCCCCTGCACCCAGCTTTTCTCTATTTATTGTTGTTGTTCTGGAGATTTAACCCAGGGCACTCTACCACTAAGCTACACTCCCAGATTTTTATTTTTTTCTTAAAAATTTGAGTCAGGGTCTCACTAAATTACCTAGGTTAGCTTCAAACTTGTAATTCTTCTGCCCCAGCCTCCCAAGTTGTTGTTATTACAGGCATGTAATTTCTCCTTGAATGGCTCTGTGATACTTCTTTGGCTTTAGATTCATTTGTTTATTTGTCTTGCTTTGTTTCACAAAGATTTTAAGGAGAGGAGCTCAGAGGTCTGACTCCTCTCTCCTGAGTTCTTTCCAGAACCAGGGAGGAGTCTCTGGGATTGTCCCTCTGGAGTTTCAGGAATGTGTTTCTTCTGTGTGTGCTTTTTCTACCTGGTGTTTTGATGGTGCTGTCCAAGGAGGCCCACACCAGGGCCTCTGCATTCATGCACAAAGTATATCGATGTGGATATTTCCACTAGTGGAGACAAAGTACCAAGCTGTGCATTCATCTGCACTGGTGGTCACTGATGTGTGCTTGTTTTGTATGGCTTGGGGTTTTCCTTGTCACGGGCCTGGTGGAGTACCTTGAGCATTTCTGGTGTGTCTAAGGCATGTGGGTCTGCCATGTTGTATATATATGGCCCAGAGAGTGTGTGTACACTATTAGGCGATTAGATTGCACCCCTTAGTGAAGGGCGTGATGGGGAAAAGGCAGAGTGGGGGTGTCCCTTCCCAGGGAGTGGGTGGCTGTGTGTCCCTGCAGGGACACTGCAGCCCGGCCCGCGCCCGGCTGAGTGTTCACCCTCCCGGTGGCCCGGCGCCGCGCGTTTCGCTGCGCGCGATCGGCCGGGCGAAGGCCGTCGTACATTGGAGCCTTGTGTCGGTGTCTGCTGCGCTGCGCCGGCCTCCTCTCGGCGGCGGCGGCGCTGGGGGGGGACTGTTTCCGGGGGTGGGGGTGGGGGTAGGACCGGGGCGGGGGGGAGCCGATGATGTCAGCGGCGGCGGCGGCGGCGGCGGCGGCGGGGCCGGGCCGGGGCCGGGCGCTGGGGGGGCCAGGGCCGGAGCCGGAGCCGGAGCCGGAGCCGGAGCTGGAGGCGGGCGAAACCGGAGCGGCCGGGGGCGGCCACGGTGATGAGCCGGGCCTGGCGGACGCGGCGCCATCGCAGTCAGGTGGGCCCCGAGGCGAACCGGGCAGGGCCAGGGCGGACCGGAGCCAACTGCCGGGCCCCCTCCCCGCTGCCCGGCGCCGTGGGGGCCCTAGCCGCGCCCCGAGCCGCTACCGCTCCCCTTTGGAGTTGACCTGGGGGCTCAGGGGTCGGGGACTGAGCCTGGCCCCGCCCCCGGGCGCGCACGGCGCTGGGGGGCGACTAAGGGGGCCCTGGTATGGCGTCCGAGGGAGCGGTGGACTGGGGACGCGATTGCCCCGGGCTGTGGAAGGGGCCGTACTCACTCCCCCTTTGAAGGGTTAATTCTGCAGCCTAAAGTCCCCCTCCCCGCGGGGGGCAGGTTGGGGGTGGGGTGGGGCGGGTGTGAGCCCAGGCAAGCGCTGCAAGCTGCTGGGAGGGTGATGGCGTAGGAACCAGGCAGAGAGGGGGAGGGGTGGGCCTCTGAGCGCCCCAGAGTTGGGGTGTGCGGCGTGCGCGGGGTGCGCAGTGTGAGCGGGAGCACTGGATCTGCCGCGCCGTCGGGGCAGGGTTGTGGCTGTGAGTCTTGGAGATTGTGTCTCCTGCAGTGTTGTGGGGCAAGGTAAACCGCTCTGGGGCACCACCGTTTGCTCCTCTGGCAGTCAGGGGCCCAGGTTGGGCCCTGCCTGGGCCATAGAGATAGAAGGCCAGGAGGGGTGTCCAGTGCTGTGGGGCAGAATTACTTACAAGATGTGGCCCTATGGCTTTGGGTGACAGATGGGCATTCTAAGCAGGGTACAATACGCTGAGTGCGGAGTTTGTTCATTGTGAGGTTGTGTGTATATTTTCCATTAGCCTGTGTTTTCTTGCACGTATGTCTTGTGCTGCACATATGAACTGTGTATGCTTGCTTGTTCTCTGCATAGCTGGCATGGTGTACTTCTTATGGAAGGCTCCTGAATGCAGGGTGTATGTGCCCATTTGGAAGGGGCAGTTGTGTACCTTTGAGTTAAGGTATCACATCTGGGTGTTGTTTCTGTGGTCCTGCCAAGGTGTGGTCCACTTGTGGTGAGGACAGACTGATGGATGGGTTTGTGTGTTTGTACGGAGTGAGTTGCATGGGGGCCACACATCTAGAACTCAGATCCCATGTATCACAAGGGGATTGATAAACCTCAGGGTGTGTCTCTGGTTCCTGTGGGTCAGCTGGCATTGGTGTGAAAGGTTCTGGGTGGGATGTGCAAGTTGTGTTTATGGCATCATGGGCAGCCAAGCAAAAGGAAGGTTGTGTGTTTGCAACATTCTCTGCGGGATTCTTTTGTGACGTTGTTTGTGGGAGCCTGTCCGAGCTGTTGGGCTGGGAGGCAAGCTGGTCAGAAAACACTTGTGGGGAGGGAGGTGGCGTGACAAGGGCAATGTGGGCCTCAAACCCAAGAGACCAGCCGCAAGCTGTGTGTGAGTGCCTACCTTCTGTATGCTTAAGTGGGGGTGTGGGGCTGCAGAGGAGCTGTTATGGGAAGACAGGGAGATAAATATGGGGCAGAGCAAGGGCAGCAGGCAGGAGGCATGGGTGTTGTCAAGGTGGCACATCTCTTGTAGGGTCTTGTAGGTGCTTGCCGCTCACCCAGCCTGTCAGGGTCACCGAGAGGAGAGTCCTGGCGCCTGCAAGGGAAGTGAGCTTAGACAGTGTGGCTCCTTGGTCATGTTTATGTAAAGACCGGGTGTGACTTTTGTCACTAAAATGGAAAAAAGAAACATGAAGTTTTCAGTCTCCTCCTCCTACTTTGCCCTCTCCCTTTCTCTGCCCCCCTTGCGGGTATCTGTGACGCACACTGGGCCCCACTCTTGTGACTGGAGGAAGGTGGAAGGGCCTTGAACGGAATTTGCTCACTAGGCAGATTCCTTAGAACAGGTTTTCCTCACCTTTGGGGCCTGGGCCTTCTGTAGGGGCATGTGTATGCACATGGATGCATGCTCCAGTTGTGCATGACACTGTGTACTTCTCTTGGCCTGCGGGAGGGCATATATACGTGGAGGAAGGAGAGCATTGTGGCTGGGTCCTTCAGTCTGGGGATGGGGAGGGGGCTGGCTGCTGTGTGAAGCCTGCGGGACAGGTGCAAAACAGAAGCCCTGCACTGGAACTAAAGAGTTCTGTGGCTCTGTGACTTACTGGCACTTTGCCTAAGTGAGCCTCAGTTCCACATCTGTAAAACCGCCCTAATTATGTGTTCTACCTACCACTGACCTGGGAAACAGACCTGGACTGTTAGCTTCAGTTTGGGGGCTGTGCCTGTGCCAAGTCCTGTCGGCCCTCTGTCAGCACTGAGAATCCCCTTCCGGTTTCACTAATAGCAATGGCTGTAAACACTTGGTCAACACTAACTGAGTATTGGACACCATTCTTGGTGCCTTTTCTTACTGTTGCTCATTTAGTCCTCACAGTAGGTACTCTGATTACCTCCTTTTTTCAGGTAAGGCAATTGAGGCCCAGAGAAGTTCGTAATTTGTCCAAAGTCACTTAGCTAGTAAAAGTTAAAACTATATTTGAACCCAAGCAGTCAAGTTCCAGATCCTGTGTTCTTAATTGCTGTGCTCTGATGCCTTCCTGGAGTATTCAGTGGACCTCTCTGCACGCACACACGCACGCACACACATACACTTCTCCTCAGTTTCTGCAGAACTCAGCATCTCACCAGGAAAGCAGTATGCTTAGGTAGCACTCTCAGGAATCCCAGCCCAGCGCTTGAGACCCTAAAGATCTGCTACTTTATAACATGGGTGCTGGCCAGAGGGGCACAAAATGTTGGTAAGTCAGAGGAAAGAAAGGTTGTCCTTGTCCTGTGGGTCATAGAGGGCCAAAAAAAAGATAGTACATTTGATCTTAACATTTTGGAGGAATGTTGAGAAGAAATTACTGAGAGGGCATTGCTGGCAGGAGACTCAGCAGAGGCAAAGGCACCGAGGTGGAATATGTGGAGGTTGGAGAGCATACTGGGTGTTTAAAGAGAGAATAACACAGGCAAGATTAAGGGGAGCTTGGAGCTGGACCAGAGCCCTTGAGTACTTGGTGGAGGAGTTTGAACTTCATTCTTAAGTCAGTGGGGACTATAGACAGTTTTTGAACCTAGCTGTGTTAGTACCTGAACTGCCAGTAGGAACACTGCCTCCCATGGGAGGAAAGCTGGATGGGAAAGGTGAACCTAAAGAGGGAAAGCTGGGAGGCCTTGGCCTTGGACCATGTAAGTGTTAACAAGGACCTGTTTGGAGGCCAAAGGCGGGTTGAGAGAAAACTTGCAAAGCCATTCCCAAGCTCAGCTGCAGTTTCAGCCAGACTTGGTGACTGCTGGATTTGGGAGCGAGGGAAAGGGTGGAGTCAGACACGACACATTTAGCACTTAGCACGTGAGACCTTGTGTGGTGATTTATGTAACCAGCTGGCCTGCCGTAGGCCCCTTCAGGACAGGATCCAGCAGAATGACAGATGCAAAGATTTAACATCTGGGGTCTGCCCAGCCTGAATTCAAATCTTGACTCTGCTATTTTCAAGCTGTGTGACCTTGATCAAGGTATATCCCTCTCTGGTTCTTCTTCTATAAAATTGGGAGAATATAAATAGAATATAAATACCTATTTTGGGTGACTATTTCAAGGATATGATTAAAGGAGGCAATGCATGTAAAGCCCCTGGAAGCTTATCAGGCAAATTGTGCATGTATTAGTAATGGTCAAGTTATAATCATCATTCCCAGCTCCTACCTGACTCAGTTTGGCACTGACGGTGGCTTCTTCCTGAGGATAGACAGACTTGAAGCAGACTTTGAGGGCAAGTTCATTTATGAGAATTGTATGTGTGTGTGTGTGTGTGTTACTGGGGATTGAACTCAGGGCCCCATACATGGTAGACAAACACTCTACCTCTGAATGGCACACCCAGCTCTTAAAATTTTTTTAACCCCTTACATTGTGTGCTAGACACTGTGCTTAGGCCTGGAGATATTACAGTGAACAAAGCAGACAAAAATTCCTACTGTTGCCAGCCTTGAAGTCTATATTCTAGAGATAAATGAGCAATGTGTTTTACTAAGTTCCAAGAAGAAAAATAAAGGAGTTTAGGAAGATATTAAGTTTGGGGGGTGGGCCAGGGAAGGCCCCTGGGTAAGGGGACTTTTTGAATCAAAACTGAAGTATGAGGTTATCTGGAGAAAAGAACATTCCATGCAGAGGGAACAAGAGGTGGAGCATATCCCTGTCACAGTGGCACCTCCGGGGTCACACAAGCAGTCAAGAGTAGAGAAATGGTAAGAATAAGAAACTTAAAACCCGAGAGTCACCATCTTACCTTGAAGCCCAATTTCTGCCTCTTTTTTTTTTTTTCACCATCCCCCCCCCACCACCACCATCTTCCAGGACTGAGTTTCAAGACAAGGCACAGACTACTTTGGTATACACAGGAAATTGATTCCAGGGCTCATCACAGATATGACATCCTTGGATGCTCAAGTCCCTTCATAAAATGGCATAATATTTGTATCTAACCTATGTATATTTTAAATCATCTCTACATATAATATATAACACCATGTAAATGCTATGTAAGTAGTCACTATACTGTACTTAGGGAACAATGATAAGAAAAATAAAGTCTGTACACATATAGTTTTTTTTTTCCTGAATATTTTCAATCCTCTGTTGGTTGAATCTGCCACTTACTAATTCATTTAATCTTTTCAACAACCCCACAAGTGGGAGCTATTAATCATCTTTGCCTTATAGTTAAGGAAACTTAGAAACAGAGAGTTGAATGACTTATGCAGGATCACATAGCTAGTGTCTTCTCCACCCACCCCCTCCCCAACCCATAAAGCCTTGCAGGACAGTGGCCAGCAGTGAGGCAGTTGAACTCAGGAAAGCTGAATCCAAACCCCAGCTTGGATTCAGCTTTCCTGAGTTAGCTTGTTAGCAACAAGACCAGGAGCAGAGGGGCTGAGGCTAGAAAATATTCTTAGCATGCACAAGGCCCTGGTTCAATCCCTAGCACTGCCAAAAACCAGGGGCAAATCACTGCATCACTATATTTCCTGGACCTGAAATGAGTTTAGAGTGTTGAAATTCTCTACACTATGGTCATTTTGGATATTGATATGATGCAGATAAAATCTTTGGCACTATATTTTGCACATAAGTATTTATAAATGGCAGCTACAAAGACCATAATGACTGTAATTCTAGATGATCTCTAAGGGCCAGTCCAGCTTTGAGTCTCTGTGGTTTTAAGAAGCCCTAACAGGCCTTGTCCAAGTGTCAAGGCAGTCAGCTATACAGCTGCTTGTCTGCAGGCACCAAGCCTCCCATGGATGGTTGTGCAGGTGAGCAGGGCTGGCCATGGGTGAATGGGGACTGGAATTAAACTCTGACTTCTGCTCACCTGGAAGAAGGGGACACAAACGCTCCAGGTGGACTAGTGGCATCCCAGTAGGAGCTGTAAACATGTCCTTCATCATGGTGTAGAGAAGTCATCAGGAACACTGACTTTGAAGCCAAGTTTCCTGGGATCAGTTCCCAGCCCAACTACTGGTCATATATCTACTTGGGCAAATTACACAGTACATCTGAGCCTCTGTTGCCTTAAAATGAATAAGCTTCTGCCACTTTTCTGGGTAGCAATGAGAAACAAATGAAATAATGCAATAAAGTGCTGACTCTTGGGGTCCCAGTGGGCTGGGGGCTATCATGGAAGTTGGAAGTCTAATCACAGCCCATGGATTCCCTAGGATTCCCAACCTATTCACAGCATAAACAGAATTCCTGGTCTGTGCCTGGCAGTCAGGGTTGTCAAATTTTTTGAATAGGGGCTAGGGTTATAACTCAGTGGTAGAGCGCTGCCTAGCATGTGTGAGGCTATTCCAAAAGGAATAGCAAGCAACCCAAATGCACTGCATAAAAATAAAGAAATAAAGGTTAAAAATTAAAAAAAAAAACAACTTTTGAATATCATCTCTGTTTACCCACTTTCCTTCTTGTTCAGGAGAAGAATCAGAGCTGGCTTTTGCAGGAAAATTTAAGATACTGTGGGGAGAAGGCCTTTAAGTCCAGATGGCATGGGTAGTAAATGGGAAAAGAACATTTTGTGGGGGTTGGGGATTGCATGAGGAACTTCTGATGCAGGCCACACATGAGTATATGTGTGATGTGGACAGGGCACTCAGAAGGATGCCACCCTACCCCACTATCCAAGAGGCCAGAGTTCTCAGGCTGCCTGGAGGGCAGATAAGAGAGACCTTTCAGGTCAACAGGTCTAAATCTATGGACAGGTCCCACTCTGTATGACTTTGGATAAGGCACTGAAACTCAGATATTCAAGTAAAAGATGAGAATTCAAGGCCCTAAACTACCCACGGGGGTGGGGAAGCAGCTATCTGAGCTAGCAACTACCAAACTTGCTTTTGGGTTCCTGCTATTCTTTTTGGTGGAGGCTTCTGGCAAGAGATGAGGTAGAGGGGTCTTATTTCCCCTGCTTTTTAAGCCCAAATCCCTAGGCCACCAGGTCTCATAAGAAGTGGGACCCAAGGCTCCCCACTCTTGGTCTGGTGGCCTTTGCAGTGCCCTTTAGAGACTGGAACAAGCAGGCACTTGTCAGTGGTCTTTAGAGGTCACCTGGTACCCTAGCCAGAAACCCCTTCTAAGATTTATAGGGCTGGAAGCATGTGAGGAGACCATCTCCTAATTTGAATACCTAGTAGCTTGGTCTAATAAGAAAGCTTACATAGACTAGGCCTGATGGTGTGGTGCAAACCTGTAATCCCAGCAACTCGGAAGACTGAGGCAGGAGGATCACAGGCTCAAGACCAGTCTCAGAGCTGGGTGTGGTGGCACACACCTGTAATCCCAGTGGATCAGGAGGCTGAGACAGGAGGATCATGAGTTTAAAGCCAGCCTCAGCAACTTAGTGAGACTCTGTCTCAAAATAATATATAAAATGGGCTGGAAATATGGCTCAGTGGTTTAAACTACACCTGCTTAAATCCCTGGTACCCCCCCCCAAAAAAAAATTACACAAATATATTTTAATATGTAAATGTACCAATTGTGATAAAAGACAACATTCAAATCTTTGATTTCCTTTGAGCCCCAAGGTTGGACCAAAGGGACTTGAAAGTGATCTGACAGGCTTTCCTGAACCTATGGGGTTGGACTGTGCTGCTGTATTGTATAGAGGTGAACTGGGAATATGTGAATTATCTTGTTTCTGTACTTCCATGGGCCCAGCAGAAAAAGCCTCTCCGATAATCTTTGTGACCTTGTAGGGCTGACTGGATGAGGCTAAACAAATAACCTGACAGAGGTTCCCGGGAGGAATCAGGGTCTGCAGAGCAGTGCAAATATCCTCTCTGACCCTGACCACTGTACCAATGCCCACTCCCTACAGTCCTTCATTCCAGTTCTTGTCCTGAGGACCCTTTCCTGCCTCCTCCTCTCAGTTCTCCTGACATGGTTTCTGTTTCTCCACAGAAGGAAGAGGCTGGGCAGAAGGGACTCACTGAGCCACCCCCCAGTCCGCTCCATGCTGGCTGTGCTCTCAGGTGAGAGGGTACCAAGAGGACTATATCTAGGAAATATTAAACCTAGGGTAGCATGCCTGCAAGGGCACCCATTTTGTCCAGGCTGGAGAGTTCTGGGAAATGATTGGCAGTAGTTGTGGGAGCTTCCTTATCCTTCCAATGAGAGAGGTTTCCATTGCTTACCTGCTAGTCTGTGACTTTGGAAGTCATAGACTTCTTGACCTTTAGGATGACCTATGGTATCTCTGGCCTCTCTTTTAGCCCTAGATATTAGAAATGCTGGTCTTGAATATTGGTTAGACTTGGGTGGCTGAGTGTTAACTTCTGTGACCTGAAGTTACTCAATCTTCTACTAATTTTTGACCAGCCTGACCCCTTCTCAGTTCACTTCCCTGGTCTTAGAGGCCTCTGCCCTCTGCACAGCCTCTGAGACTCTCCCTGGCCTCTTTTCCCCATGTCTAGGCTGGCGCCATGCCCCCACCTGCAGAGGTGACGGACCCATCCCATGCCCCCGCCGTCTTGCGCCAGCTAAATGAGCAGCGGCTCCGTGGCCTCTTCTGTGACGTCACCCTCATAGCCGGAGACACCAAGTTCCCCGCTCACCGCAGCGTCCTGGCTGCCTCTAGTCCCTTCTTCAGAGAGGCCCTGCTAGCTTCAGCCCCACTGCCCCTCCCACCAGTTACTGGGGGCTCAGCTCCCAATCCTGCAACCACCACAGCTGCCTCTTCTTCCTCTTCCTCCTCCTCTTCTTCCTCTTCCTCCTCTTCTTCTTCTTCTTCCTCTTCCCCCTCTTCTCCCCCTCCAGCCTCTCCCTCTGCTTTATCCCCACCCCGGGTCCTTGAGCTTCCAGGGGTCCCAGCAGCTGCCTTCTCTGATGTCCTCAACTTCATCTATAGTGCCCGGCTTGCACTCCCTGGTGGTGGAGGGAACGGGGCAGCTGTGGCAGAGATTGGAGCTCTGGGGCGGCGTCTGGGCATCTCCCGCCTGCAGGGCCTTGGGGAGGGAGGCGATGCATGGGTACCTCCCACCCCAGCCCCCATGGCCACCTCACAGTCTGAAGAGGACAGTTTCGGGTCTGGGCCTAGGCCAGATGGAGAATGGGAGGGTGACAGGGCTGATGCCCAGGCCCCTGACTCACAGCCCCCGCTGCCACGTCGGCCCCTCCCTTGCCCACGATGTGGGAAAAGCTTCATCCATCCCAAGCGGCTACAGACCCATGAGGCCCAGTGTCGACGAGGGGCCAGCACTCGGGGGTCTGCAGGGCTGGGAGCTGGGGGCTCTGGCCCTGGTGGTCCTGCAGGAGTGGATGCCTCAGCCCTACCCCCACCAGTGGGCTTCCGAGGTGGCCCTGAGCACGTGGTGAAGGTGGTGGGTGGCCATGTGCTGTACGTGTGCGCAGCCTGTGAGCGTTCCTACGTGACCCTGTCCAGCCTGAAGCGGCACAGCAATGTGCATTCGTGGCGGAGGAAGTACCCCTGCCGCTACTGTGAGAAGGTGTTTGCCCTGGCTGAGTACCGCACCAAACACGAGGTGTGGCATACTGGGGAGCGCAGGTGAGTGGTCTGGGTCCAGGAGTGGAGGGTTGGGAAGGAGGGTCCAGGGTCAGCACTCAGAGGCCTTGGACAAGGGAGGGAAGGTGTAGACGGTGGGGTCTAGAAAGTCATCCTGAATCTGGTCTACTTATGCCCTGGCCTCTGTTCACCGGCACTCACTCACTGCCCACACCCACCCCCAGCCTCTTCCTTAACAGCATCTTGCCTGCCTGTGTCCTGGGTTAGCACTGTGGGGAAGGCCAGGAAGTAAAGAATGAATTGCCCTTACAGAGGGGACACACAAAGGCGTGTTCACCAGTACTTATAATACTCAGAACAATGCCGGGTAGTTCCATAGCATGTCCTTGTTCTTAAGTCATTTCCTAATTCTGTTATTTGTGCTTCAGAAGGCTTTGTGAGTTAGGATGTGTGATTATTCCCAGTTCACAGATTGAACAGTTGAGGCTAGGAGTTGTGCCCCTCAGGAGACTGGCAGGGTGAAGCAAAGCAGCATCAAGAGAGGGTGAAAATATGGCTGGGGGAGTTATAGGTTTGAGGGCTGCAGAGGACATGGAAACTGCCCTGGCTTCAGGGCCCCTGACTCAAGTGGCTCTGTTCCTGCCCTGTTCCCTGCTGTCCTGGCCCAGGTACCAGTGCATCTTCTGCTGGGAGACCTTTGTCACCTATTATAACCTGAAGACCCACCAGCGAGCCTTCCATGGCATTAGCCCGGGCCTCCTAGCCAGTGAGAAGACACCCAATGGAGGCTACAAGCCCAAGCTCAATACCCTGAAGCTGTACCGCCTGCTCCCCATGCGGGCAGCCAAGCGGCCCTACAAGACCTACAGCCAGGGAGCCCCTGAGGCCCCCCTTTCTCCAAGCCTCCACACACCGGCCCCTGTGGCAATACCAGCTAGCCCCCCACCCGGACCCCCACCTGCCCCAGAGCCTGGCCCACCACCCTCTGTCATCACCTTTGCTCACCCAGCTCCTTCTGTCATTGTCCATGGGAGCAGCAGCAGTGGTGGTGCAGGGAGTGGGTCAGCCACCACAGGAGGGTCCCAGGCTGCCTCAGTAATCACTTACACTGCTCCCCCAAGGCCCCCTAAGAAACGAGAGTACCCACCTCCTCCCCCTGAGCCTGCAGTAACACCCACCAGCCCGGCCACCACCTTGGTCAGCCCAGCCACAGCTGCAGGGCCAGCTACAGCTGCAGAGGAGGCCAAGAGCCGGAATCCACGGGCTGGGAGGACTCTGACTTATACAGCCAAGCCAGTGGGTGGGGTTGGTGGGGGTGGGGGTCCCCCCACAGGGCCTGGCCGGGGCCCCTCTCAGCTACAGGCTCCACCTCCACTGTGTCAGATCACTGTGCGAATTGGAGAAGAGGCCATTGTCAAGCGCCGCATCTCAGAAACTGACCTTCGTCCTGGAGAGCTGAGTGGAGAGGAGATGGAGGAGAGCGAGGAGGAGGATGAAGAGGACGAGGAGGACGAGGACGAGGAGGATGATGAGGAATCAAAGGCTGGTGGGGAGGACCAGCTCTGGAGGCCCTACTATTCATACAAGCCTAAGCGCAAGGCCGGAGCTGCCAATGGTGGCGGTGGTGGAGGTAGTGGGATAACCAGAGGACGACGGCCACCACGCTGGAGGCAAAAGCTAGAACGGAGGGGCTGGGAGGAGAGCCCCACTGTGGAAAGCCCAGTAGGGCGTGTCCGTGGTGAGCGGAGGCACCGCTGTGGGGACTGTGCCCAGTCCTTTGCCACCCTGAGGAAGCTGCGAAAGCACCAGGAGGCCCACAGTGGGGGCTCCCACAGCTCTCGGGCTGGACGGAGGCCTTCCACCCGCTTCACCTGTCCCCACTGCTCAAAGGTGTGCAAAACGGCAGCTGCCCTGAGCCGCCATGGACAGAGGCATGCTGCTGAGCGGCCCGGAGGCACCCCCACACCTGTCATTGCCTATTCTAAGGGCAGCACTGGCACCAGGCCTGGGGATGTCAAGGAAGAGGCCCCCCAGGAGATGCAAGTGTCCTCATCAAGTGGGGAGGCAGGTGGTGGGAATGCTGCTGCTGAGGAAGCTTCTGAGATGGCCTCACTCCAGGACCCTGTCATCTCAGGGGGTGAGGAGCCCCCGGTAGCAGGAGGGGGCAGCTATGCATATCCCCCTGTGCAGGAATTTCCACTGGCTCTGATAGGGAGTGGCCGGGAACCAAGTGGAGGCAGAGGAAAACCTGGGAGTGAGGGGCTAGTGGGTGTTTCGGAAGGGGACCGGATAGAGGGGATGGGGGCTGCCAAAGTCACCTTCTACCCTGAGCCCTATCCACTTGTCTATGGCCCCCAGCTCCTTGCTGCCTACCCTTACAACTTCAGCAACTTGGCTGCTCTCCCAGTTGCTCTCAACATGGTCCTACCTGATGAAAAGGGTGGGGGAGCCCTTCCTTTCCTACCAGGGGTCTTTGGCTACGCAGTGAATCCTCAAGCAGCACCCCCTACTCCCCCAACTCCGCCTCCCCCAACTCTTCCTCCATCAGTTCCCCCTAAGGGAGAAGGGGAAAGGGCAGGGGTTGAGAGAAACCAGAAGGGAGATGTGGGGTGATCTCTAGGGCCAGACCCCCCTTTCACCAGATGCCACCCTCCCTGAACCCCCTACCACTACCAGCTCCCTGGCTTCCTTGCCCTAGGGGTCCCGCCACACTCTTGTGCAGGGACTTGGGGGCCCCTGGAGCTCAGGAGTCAGGCTGCTTTGTGTGAGATTGTAGTTTTCCCATCTCCTGGGAAGGGATCTTTGGTGGTTCCCCTCTCAATCTTCCTCCAGGGAAAGGCCCCATGAGGGGCAGGGCCAGCTCCCATCCTTTCTCCAGCCCTTGGGGCAACTGAGCAATATACTTATTTGAATTTCTACTCATGGCCCCCACCAGCTCTGAATGTCTAACCTGTTCCCCTAATTCGTAAACCTAGGGGGAAACCATCTCTCTCACTTAATGATCCCCACCTCATTCTGAAGCTTTCTCTAAGTCCTTCCCCAGATGCTTCCTAGAACATTCCATTCTTTGTGGCCCAGGGCCTGGACCAGACCATTGTGATACCTGACTCACCTGCCTGGGAGCATGGCTTTGGATTCCGTTCTTCCCAAGGGTGGGTCTCTCTATCCCTATTTCCTTCACATTAAGATGCCATGCCTTCCTTGGCTTCCATGCCTTTGGATCTTCCATGCTCCTTCCCATACTCCTTCCCATACTCCTAGGCTTTGGAGGTGGCCTCGCCCAATCCAGGTCAAGGAGGTAGTGACAGGACAGCTTAACCCTCTGTTCCATGGCTGAGTACTCTTCCAACCCAGGCCAGGGAAATCTTGGCCCTACCTTGACCCTCAAATCCAGTGAGCTCCAGATTCTTCCAAGGCAAAAGAGGTGAATCGATCACACCTCTTCATGTCTTTTCATATGGCCTCTTCTGGGCTAAATCAGATTTGGGGGTCAGGAGGAGAGAGCTCCATATGGAATGGAGAAAGGAATCTACTTTCTCCCAGTTTTTCCCCTTTCCTGATGGTTTCTCCCAGACTAGACCAAATAGCCAGAAAAACGATGGGGGTTGGATGGGTGGGTAAGCCCAAGATTTGCACATGACCTTCCATCCTTACCTTTCCCCCCATCTTCCCTAGTGTTGCTCTCACCAATCACTCCAGATGGTTTTGGGGGAACCATCCTACTTTCCTGGTGGGCTTTGGGGTATCCCCACCAACTTTCCCTACAAAAGAGCACCTTACACCCCATCTTTGACTCAGTTCCCCACACCCAAAGATCCCAGCCTAGGGATGGGGTACAGGGACCTTAAATAGTCCCTAATCCCTAATTTGCACTAGTTAACCCTGGTCAGGGGTCGCTATATTTCCTTCCAGTGGGGGAGAAGACTGAAATGTTTGTTTCTAAAGCTCTTTGAAAACAGGGCCTCCCTGCTCTGCGATTGGAAGAACATTTCTCTCTCCCCCCACCTTCCCCCTCCCCCAGAAAAAAACAGCTCACAAGGGGAGAACCAGTATGGGGAAGCAGATTTGACAAATGGGAATTAGAGGAGTGTAGTTTAAAAATGGGGAAAAGTTGCTATCAAGAAAGCAGCTTTTCTCTCAGCTACTGTTTTTTGGGGCCAAGATGGCTGCCCTCTCAGCAACTGCCTAGAGGGCAAGATCATGGCTTTTAGAGGGAGGTGAATCTGGAGAGCGCCATCCTCCTGCCCCCTTTCCCTCCCAGCCTATAGGAAGGGGGAGGTGTTGGACAGGCTCCCTGAATGTTAACCAAAGAAGGAGTCACTCCTTCTTTCCTCCTCTGTCTCTTTGCACTTTTCTTGGTCTTGGCCACAGTCTGAGTGAAGAATTTCCTACTGAATGTACCAAGTTCCAATTTTTAACGGGGAAAACATTTGAAACAGGGAAAAATGCAAAAAAAAAAAAAAAAAAAAAATCACTAAAAATTCCCACAAATCTTTTCTGGCACTTTAGAAAAACTGCAAAAAATACATAATAAAGAATACATATATATATCTACACACAAATTATATATATCTATATATATACAGCGGAACCACAAGAGAGACTGAGGAAGGCCTGGAGGCAGGGGACAGATGTGATGACAGTCCCCCTGTACCCTTCACCCACACTCCTCTGAGGCAAACAGGCACAGGAGAATGGAAGGGGTTGAGGATGGACCTGGGAATTTGAATTTCAGAATAGGTCAAAATTCCAAAACCCATGGATATTGGAAGAATTGAGATTGTAAACGTTTTTTTCTTTTTTTGAAATGTGTAAGGAAAATAGCTTACAGAATTTGGTGGTTCTGGGCAATGAATGAGATTGTGGCAGAGTGGAGATTAAAATATATGTATTTGAGTGGGAGAATTTGAATATTGAGTTTCAGATGTTGGAAATTAGGGATTTTGCAATTTTGTCATTTGAAAATGATCGAGTTTTGTCAGTTTTTGCCCTCTTTCCCCATGTTCCCTGGGAAAAAGGTGATGATAAAATGGGAAGGCCACCGGTTCTGTGCCATAGCACGCAAGATTTAGAATTCTACAGACTCTAGCTCTATATGTAGTGAGGACCCAGATTTAGAGAAACTGACCAATATTTATCTCCGCATTTGTGTGTGTGTCCAACTCTCTAGGCCAATAAACCAACAAGACAAATGAACTGTGCTCCACAGTGGGATGCCAGGTGCAGTTATTTGTGTGGCTGTTGGGCTTGGGGGAAAGGGACATATTTTCCTTGTCCCACAGGGATCCTTACATTAGAAGTTGTAGCCCTATTCTCTCTCTTATGACAACAGCTTTCAGCAATTGAGTAGGTAGGTGTGAGGCTTGTTGACTCTAGGTGCTTCTTTGTAATTGCTGTAGCCACTAGGATCCAGCTGACTTTGGTCTGACCTCCAAGCAGAAACATTAACTCAGTTCATTTCATACAGCCTTCTGTGCATAACTGCTGGATGGAAGATCTCTGTATCCTTGAATGGCCTTGCTTCAAACCAGATTCAACCCTTTTTTCCAGTTTGAAAGTAAACTGAGGCAAAAAATATGTGATGACCATAAAAGATATGACCTCATTCCATTCTTAGCCTCTCCATTGGCTTCAACTCCTTGCCTGTCCTCCTCTCTCCTATCTTTTCTACTGATATGGAGGGATGGGCAGGTAAAATGAGTGAAGGTGGGTAGGTGGACAGGGGCTTTAAGGAATTCTGGCACCAATACCTTGACCAGAGTGAGCAGCCACTGATTAGCTCTAGCAAGTTTCCATCAACAAGAAAATATGGTCAGGCATTACCATACTTAAAAAAATTTTTTTTCAAAGAAAAGCCAGAAATTCCCAGACCTGGTGGCAAATGCCTATAATCTCAGAGGCTCAGGAGGACAAGATGTGAGGATTACAAGTTCGAGGCCAGCCTCAGCAACTTAGGTCCTAAGCAACTAGTGAGACCCTGTTTCAAAATAAAAAATAAAAAGGGCTGGGGATGTAGCTCAATGATAAATTACCCTGGGTTAAATACCTCCACACACAAAGAAAAAAAGACAGAAATCCACATGTCTCTGTGAAATATCCAAGTTTTAAAAGTAGTGAGCTAATTAAATTTGAAACTGCACATGCCAACAACATGAACCAATAAAAACACTCCAGTTTGCAAACTCAGATATTGTTGATATATACTATGGGGCATATACTATTATTAGCTTTGTTTTACAGATGTGGAAACTATGATACAGGGCAGTCAGTCATTTGAGCATTAAAGCCAGAAGTTGAATAGAGGTCTTTAAAACACTTTTTTTTTAGTTTATTTTTTTAAAGTGTTGTTTCTTCAAAACACTTTTTTAGCCTTTAGAACCTTTTTTTTTTAAATTACATTAAGGTAAAAACAGAAAAATAAATTAGTCCAAACATGCAAATGTAGGAACTATTAATTGGTGTTATTTCTTTCCAGAAAATTCTCCCTCTTCATTCAACAAACATTGAACCTTTAGGTCAGTGTCAGGTGCTGGAAATATTACAGTGACCAAGACATTTCCTGCCATCCTAAGGCTTACATTAATTTGTGCTCTTTGTACTACTTCATTGGGGACCTGGGCATTGATATCCAAGGGAGCCGCCTCAAGTATCCAAAGAGCAAATAAACTGATATGCATTTCAGGTGGGTCTAAGACACCCTAACCAGCCCTCAGTTCCACTTAAGCGCTCTCCTTAGAAACAAAATAAATGTACTGGATTCCTAGCGAAAGGGTTTAAGCAGAGGGGGTTATAAGGCTTGAAAATACTTTCATTTCAACTAGCCGAGAACCTGAGGCTCGGCCTTCCAGTCCTCAAGGAAAGGGGTCGGCAGGGGGTAAGTGGTACGTAGCATCTAGGAAAATGACCAGGGTCCCGACGCTCGTGAAGATGATGAAGGTCCACAGGAAGAGGCGATCCACTACCATAGCCACAAACTGCCAGTCCTCCTTCAGCTAGGGGTAGGCAGAGGAAACCACCTGAGTTCTAGGCCCCGATCCCCAGGGAAGCCTGGCCCCCACAGCTCGGACCCCGCCCGGGACTTCCCACTGGAGGTCTGAGAAAAGACACCGCACCGCAACAAGTAATAGAGACCGCGAGTTAAAGAACCACTCGGAAAGTAGAGGGCGGGACCAAGTTTGGTAAACTTCCAATCATAAGTGGAAGCCAGTGCTAGGGGCGGGACCTGCGTTTGCAGGCGGAGCCAAGGTCACAGAGGACCTGCTCTTGCTCTGCCCCTCCCTTATTGGACTTAACTGCATCGTGGTCCTCCTGTTCCTGCAGCTGTCGAGCGATGTAGCTGATCGAGGAAACCACCTCCCGTAACTCGGGAGGCAGGCCCACAGCCCGGTTTCGACCATCAATAAATCGCCGCAGGTCCGGGGTAGACAGTTCAGGCTGGAATCTGGAAGAAGCTGAATGTTCGGCCACGCCCCAGGCTAGAATAGCTAGCGCCAGTGACCTAGGTCCAGCTCCAACTGCCTCCAACAACCTGCCAGTTCTAAAAAGCTGGAAGAGCCCTTCAGACACTCTCACCAGGGGAGACCTCTCCAATCATCCTCAACTTCTTGCACCCTTCCTCAACTTCTTCCAACCCTCCAAGCTTTATTTACCATCTTCCCTCAAAGTAAGCCGCAGAAGGGATACTACAACTCCCATGATGCTGGACCACAGCATCTTCCGAGAGCATGGGACGCTAAACTCGCGCTCGGTCTTCTGGGAACTGTAGTTCTCCCTCTCCCCTCCATGTCAGTGTTGGGTATTAGTTCTACCTGTTGGGTTTGGGGAAGAGAAAATCATTCGGTGGCTTCCGGATAAAATATTCGTCAGTACCCCGACCCCAGCCACTTCCCAGAGAAGAAGAGTGAGGGGGCTCTGGCAGCTGGTCTCTCTCAGGTTTTGGCCTCTTCAGACCCAGGTAGAGAGGGAGCTTGTGGATGAAGATCTGCAGAATAGAAGACACTTACTGGAAGGGGCTTACTACAAGGGAAGAAGCCAACCATGTCCATTACCACTGTGCATGCACATGGTTCCATGGAGTTAATAGACAAGGAAATGCAATCTGATGGTCTTGAGAGCTCTTTAGTGGGTTGAGAGGTTTCTGGGCTTTCACTCTGATTGTACCTATCCCCAAGAATGTTTCCCAGGGTCCCAACATAGGTAGTATTGATGAAGGGAGTATGGAATTGGATGATAAGAATGGGAAGTACAATTAATCGTGCAATGTTTCAACACCCAACAGGCTTTGGCATTTCAACACTTTACCAGATAGCCTTTATTTTCCCTTAGGTCTATAAAAAGGAAGTTGAGGTTGGTGTGGGGGGAGTGATAGCTGGACACAGAGCCAAATACTAAGATTGGGAGTTAGCACAGGCTAGAGGAAGAGATCTCTTACCTGACGGACCCAAAGAGGCATTTGGTGGGTGTGGGGAGAGCGGTGATGCAGGTTGAGTACCACAACGCTAAGGATGACTGAGAAAGTGACGAGGATCATGGTAAACATGAGATACTTAATAATGATGGGTACTGACAGGGAAGTCTCAGGTACTTTGTCTGCCAGCAGCAGCAGGAACACAGTAAGGGTCAGCAGGGCAAAGATGGAGAGCCCCATCTTTTCTCCTTAGAAGGCAAAGGGGAAAGCAAAAGAATTAGACTTTACTAGAAGGAAATCTCTATGTCATAATCAGTGACCATGTTTCCAGCCAACCAATGATAGGGACGGTCAATCTGCATACAAATTACTCCCATATTTGTTCCTCCAGTCTGGACTTCTCCCTTGTACACCAGACTTACATCCAAATGCTTTCTCAACCTTTCCACTGGGATTATCCAATACACATCTCAAATTTAGGATGTCTAAAACCTAATTCTGTCACCACCAAAGCTACTCTCCCATAGTTTTCCCCATCCTTTAACAACTGCATCTTTTCTGTGGCTTAAACCCAACTCCTTGGAGTCATTCTCAACTTTCCTCCATTTCTGTCTCTCTCCATCTCTTCTACTCTTCATTCCATATCTTCAAAATATATCCTAAAACTGATGACATATCACATCTACACTCTCATCCCAACCATCATTACCTCAGGTCTGAATTATTGTAGAGGTATCCTACCTGATCTCTGCTTCATCTGTTTACCTCAGCAGATCAGTCAGACTGATTTTGTTGAAATATAAATCAGATTATATCATTCCTCTTTCCAAAACCACCTAAATAGCTCCTCATCTCCTTCAGTATAAAAGCAAAGTTCTTTCTATGGATCACAGGTTTTTCTCATTAGCTCCCTAATTTCAACTTCTTCTCTCCCTCTGGCTTACTTCATTCAGTTACAATGTCTTCCTGCCCATTTCTTGAATACACAAGTCAGCCTCCCACTACAGGGCCTTTGCATTTACTGTTTCCTTTGCTTGCACATTCTTTCCCCAGATACCTCCTGGAGTCATTTTCTTGCCTCCTTTAAGTCAAATAGTCCCTCTTCAATGAGACTATTCACTGACATCCCATGTATTGTTATTGTTGTTATTATGTTATTATTATTATTATTTAAACTGGGAATAAGCCCCAGGGACACTTTACTGCTGAGCTACATCCTCAGTCCTTTAAAAAAATTTTTTTTAAGAGTTTCATTAAGTTGCTGAGGCTGGCCTTGAACTTGAGATCCTCCAGCGTCAGCCTCCCAAGTTGCTGAGATTACAGGCATGCACCACCATACCCAGTTCCATTTTTATTTTTTATTTACTATAAGGAAAGCAGCCAACCACCTCCAGATAAAAGAAAAAAAAATGCTTTGAATACTAGAGTTAAGGATACTGGGTCTCTCAACCAGATTGGCACTGACTAGGGCTGGAATAACAACACTATCATTTTTACTGTGTGATGTCAGATAAATGACTTAAACTCTCAGCCTCTTTATCCTCTATAAAATGAGAGTGACAATTCAGTACTTACCATGAAGTATTATTGTAAAGATTAGAATCAAATAACATGTTAATTGTATAACCTTATAGCAAGTGCTTAAAATCATATATATATATAGGCATGGTGGTGTACATCTTTAATTCCAGTGGCTTGGGAGACTGAGGCAGGAGGATCATAAGTTCGAAGCCAGCCACAGAAACTTAGCGAGACCCTAACCAACTTAGGAGACCCTGCTGAAAAAAAAAATTTTTTTTTTTTTAAAAAGTATTGGGGATGTGTCTCGGTGGCTAAGCAATCCTGGGTTCAATTCCTGGTTAAAAAAAAAAAAAAGCTATAATCACATAGAATGTACTGAGTACCAGGCATAGTTTTATTAAGTCAGTCAATTCTCAAAATAATCCTATGTGGTAGGGACAATGATTGTCTTCATCAGGAAACTAAGACACACAAAAATTAAGAAATTTACCCAAGGTTACTCTGTTACTACATTTTGCTTCCTGCTAGAGAAATACTATTATTTCTCAGGCAGGTAAAAAGTTTAGGCATAGTGTCCAAAAAGTAGGGGTGGAGGGTTGCTAGGAAAGGGGAAAGGGAGGAGGAGATTGGCTCAACATGGGATTTGGCTAGTCAGAAAACTACACAAGTGGCTATGACTCTAAAGGAAAGAATTCAGAAGTCACTGGGTGAAGGGAAACCAGCAGCAGAGGGAACGTAGAGCCTAATATTGGGTCTACTGGGTGGGAAGGAAAACCAGGGATTGATGAATCTAATCCATGGTGATTTAGAAAATCGTGGTCTGGGTTAAGGGTGAAGAGAAAGAAGCTGAGCTAATGAGAAGAGCATTACCTGCATCCGGTGGCAAGTAGAAGACAAAGATGGCCAAGAGAGTGATAAGGATGCACGGGGCAATGACATTGACCAGGTAGAAGAGAGGCTTCCGGCGGATGATGAGGTAGAAGGTGACTTCCTCATGTTGTCCTTCCCTCCCTCCCCTAGGATCCCCTGGAGGCTGGATTAGCCTAGCAGGCTTGTGGATAATCTCCCATTGGCCATTCTCTGAGGGAGAGGGAAGCAGAAGAGATACCTATGTGAGAATTGTCCTAGTCAGTTCCAGGTATGCAACACTGTAGTGGGCAGCTATCTCTAATAAACTTAACTACATCTCAGTTTCTATATTTGTACAGTGTTGATAGTCATACCCACCTTGCTCACTCCAAAAGGTTACATTGGACATTGCTGACAGAGTATATTTACCTGCCTGTTACAAACTGGAAATCAGAAAGCCTAAGGGTGTAGAAGTCATCCCCACTTACCAATGAATGTCCCTTCGTGAATGTAGATTTCCTGCCGCTCCAGCCCATCAGAACCCAGGCCTGTATGCAGACTGACCTCTGAGCTGTCATAACTGTAGGAACTAAACACCATGGTGCAGTTTTGCCAGTCAAAGGGGAAGTAGGTGACCTGGATGGAAGGGAGAATCTATCTAGCTGCCAGAGAACTGGTCAGGACTTCCTTCAATTTGGAAGGTCATTGGGGAGGTCCTTGGGGGAACAGGGATATGGGGTCAAAGAGGAATTGGAGGGCTACTAACAAAGGCCATTTGGGAAATGGTGGAAGGTCACTGAGAAAGATTAGGAGTCAAGAAAGTATATGGAGGGCTGGGGTTGTGGCTCAGTGGTAGAGTGCTTGCCTAGCACATGTGAGGCCCTGGGTTCGATCCTCAGCATCACATAAAGATATTGTGTTCACCTACAACTAAAAAATAAATAAATTCCTTTAAAAAAAAAAAAGAAAGAAAGTATATGGAGAAAAGAACACTTAGTGAAAAGTCAGGAGATGAGGTCATAGGGGATAATGGAGGAGGAATGGGAGCCCCTGAAAAGTCAGGATGTCTGAGGAGAGCAAGAGTTTTTAAGAGCAACTTTAGCTTCCTAGGTGGGGCTCAGAAACCTGGATGCTGCAGCTGCTGCGATAGATGCCTGGGGGTTGCCAGCGGACTGAGCCATCTGAAGACACCACAACGTCAATGTCCAGAGCAACATCAAAATTTCCATCATTGCTGCAGAGAAAGGATCCTCTCATCTGGAATCCCATAGTCCTCCGGAGGCCCCACCCCTCTTCAGTTCCCACCCCACCTCCCAGGCTTTGGAAAATACCCTACTTGTTCATCAACACCACATCAGGTAGCCATACTGATTCTGCCGTGATGCGGAGCAAATCGATGCCATCGTGCTCTGCCGGGTCCCAGCTCAGCCTGTAGTCAGTCCACTCCTAGGGAAGCACAGGCTAAGGGGCTGTTTGGGGCTAGAAATACAGGAAGGGAGTGCAAGGGAGTGGAGAAGTGCAGGCATGTCAAGGAGTCAGGTTCTGACTTGGGGTCTGTCTTCACTCTTTGGTATTCACACTAGCTAATTTTCCTCTCTCAGTTGTGGGTCTCAGTTTTTTAAGTCTGGAAAAACGAAGAGAGGTTAAGCCCCGCGCAGTGGCGCATGCCTATCTCCTTGCCACTTGGGAAACTGAGGCAGGAGGATTGAAAATCCGAGGCCAACCTGGACAATTTAGCAAGACCCTATCGCAAAATAATAATAAATAAAATAAAGACTGGTAATGTAGATCATTGGTACATCGCCCCTGGGTTCAATGAAAAAGAAGTAGTTGCACCACCAAGAGGTTGCACCAAGGTGGGTTTTTGTTGTTGTTTTGACTTTTTGTTTTTTTCCTTTCTTTGTGTGTGTGTGTGGGGGGGGGGGCAGTGAGTGGGATGGGTACTGCTTATTGAACCCAGGACTTCGCACATGCACAGTGGTTTTCCCAAAATGCAGTTCATGACACTTTAGTGGACGGGGATCCAAGGTAGTGGTCCTAAAGCAGTGTTTTAAAAAGTTGGAATAAAAAATGCAATACCTATCCCTGTAGGTATTGTTTTCTAAAGCTTCTGTTTCAGTTATATGTGTTTTCTGAGGTCGCGATACAAAAAAAAAAAATTCTTATTTGGCCGGACATTCGAGTAAATTATAAAGACAGCGAGACGCACTCCCCACCCATCCCCGCCCCCAGCGAGATGCCCTTCCCCATGGGGTCTTCATACCAGGTCTAAATACACCTTTGTGCTCATTTCTTCATCCTTTTCGTTCTACAAGGGAAAATTTTTAAAGCGTAAAGGCAAAGTTAAGTGGAGAAAAATGAGGGCTTGGCAGGTTAACCTCTCCTTGGAAACTGCAACCCCTTTTCCTGAAGCCCACCGTCTAGGGTCCAAGTCCAACCTCCTAGAAGCTGCGTTAGTTTAAACCCCGCCTCTACCTCAGAAACACCCCTTCCTGCTATCTACACTCTCAGCTTGTTTTCCTATCAGCATCGCCCCCTTCCCCCGACTTGCCCCGGTCCCGCCCACAGTTTACAATCCACCCAACCCTGAATTTCCGTCCGCAGCTGTTTATTGACCCGTGGGGCACCAAACTCCGCCCCACCCTGGCGAAGCCTTTGGCGGCTCCTCCTAAGGATCCGCCCCCCCCTGCCCATCAGCCCGCCACAGCTCCATTTCAAGATCCGCCCACAAACCGGTACTTCGTCCTACTTGACTCCACTCGGGGCTGGTCCACAAGCCACGCCTATAAACTTATTCATTGGTCGAATTTCTATCCAATCGCCACTAAAAGGTTGTCCATCCCTCAGCCTGGCCACGCCTAAGCCCCCGCCCCCAGATTGACCATTGGTCCTGACATGCCCCAAAGCCACGCCCCCCACCATTCCACAGGCCAGACCCCAACCCCCAGCGTGCGCCCTCACCAGGCTGATGAGTTGCGCTAGGGTAAGACCAATGCTGACTTCGACGCTGTCACCCAACACGCGCGCCGGCCGTACAGAACTATCATAGCCCGAGAAAAGTTTCTCGCGGAGTTGGCCCTCCGCCTCTGAGCCGTGGGCGCCTGTGGGAGAAGAGCATTAAGTGAAGCCCTGGTGCCTGTTCACAACCGTTGCTCCAGTCACTGTCTCCTCAGGATTTAGACGTACTTACCTGGGGCGAGCAGCACCCCCAGAAGCAACAGCAGCACCCCTGGGGTCATAGTCTGGTCGCGGCGCTCAGTGAGTTCGCCCGGGAAACTGCTGAGGCAACCAGCGCAGGGGAAGTGACGAGGCGCCCAGGAATGTGCACCTGTCGTTGGGGGGCAGCTGCCACCCCACCAACCCCGCCCCCGGGATTGGTTCCGCCCCGAGCAACTGCCATCGCCCGCCACTCAGAGATGACAGACAATACTTCAGTTGTATAAACTGACTTTAATTTGAAAGCGTAGAATGGTGACCCAGTCCCCTGGGTGAAGTGTCAGGAGATGGGTGGAGCCTGAGCGGGGTTTGTGTGGGTGAGGGGGGGAACCTACCCCCCTTGCGACAAGCCAGAAGTAAAAGAGCCTGAGAAAAAGTGACCTGTCTTTGAGCACTAGCCCCTTGCTTAGGGTCTCAGTCTATCCTGCCCAGGTCTGTGGCGCTTGGGAATATAGTTCACTAATGGGTTCCCAGTCCTTTCCAGGCCTTGTTGTCCATTTTTCAGAAAAATCTAGTCAGGCCCTTTGGGTACTTAAAACCCAGCTGAGGTTATAAGCTGTAAAGTAAAGCAAGTCTATTCACTTAGAAGCTCTAGGGGTGCATAAGGTCTCCAGCTTAAGAGGCCCTCACCCTCCTTGGCTTGACCTGTAGGGGAGAGGGGTGGGACTTATTGCTGAATTGGAGTATCCTCGTGGGGAGGGGCATCAAGGCTGTGTCCCATTTGTCCTTTTAATTCTAGACCTATTGCCCTAAAAACCTCAGCTTTAAAGGGGACCTGGAAGGAATTCCTGCTGAGGTAGCTAAGTGTTCATGTCCCCCCAACCCAGACACAGATTCAATTATGCCATGGTTTTTGGTTCCTTTCCCCTCCCAGCTTTCTGGGTCAGGGATACTTTCAAAATTCTTCTGCCCTTTCCCAGACTTTTCCCTGGCAGGACCCCGGCTGGGTTGCAGAGGCTGGATGGAACTGCATGTAAAAATAAGGTTAGCATTCTACATGGAAGAATAAAGTTTTTTAGAAAATTATCCAGGAAAATAAGTGGTTCTTTATTCAATCAGAACTAATTAGTTCTTTATGAATCATAGCTGGGTCCTTTTCAGAGCTCATTCTTAATAGGTATCACTAGAAGTGAGAAAGTAGGTCTAGAATTCAAGACTCTAGAGCTAATATGGCTATATAGGCCCCCAGTTCCATCCTGGAAAGAGGTCTGAAAGTCATGGCCTATGTTCTAGAGCTATAATTCAGGAGGAATTATGGCTCCATAAAGGTCTAGAACACTGTGCTCTAGAACTGAGTATCTCTGGGATAAGAAGGTTAAACCTGTGGTGATCTGAGAGTGGTCCCAGTTCAGGCCAAGGTCAATATCCTGACAGGGCTTAAATCCAGTCTTTCTACTTGAAGGCCAAGGGTCCAACTGGGTTAAGGATGGAAGCTTGATGGATCCAGAACAGAACCTGGCAGCATGCCTAAGTTCTAGCACAGAGCCCTAGTACAGAAATGGCCCTGGCTGGGGTGTTTGGTATTTCAGAACCTGACCAGACAAGGCAGAAGGTAGAATAGGGAAAGAAGAAAAATGATCCTGAGCTCCAGTGGACCTATGGCTCAGTGGTAATGAAAGGGGGTACAAGGATCCAGGAAGTGGCTAAGCCAGGGAGTGGTTTATGCCCTGGCTCTGTCAGTTTTGGAACTCCTAATGCCATCTTGAGAAAAGGCTTTGGGGGATGAGTATGAGTATGGAAATAAGTGATCAGCCAGACTATAATCAGATATCTGCCCCCCACCCCCGACTCAAGGATCTAAAAGTCTCAACAGCCCTGGAAGTCCCAGCCAGCCCCTAGTTTTCCTCAGTGTAGAGTACCTGGTGGGACATGGCTGCTCAGGGCATGTGTGTGGCAACAGGGGTGAGAGCAGGGCCGGGAGCAGGGCTGGGAGACAGGCTGTGGTGGTGGCTGGCTCACTGGGAATTCAGGGAGCCTCCAGTCCAGAGATTATATTTCAGGGGGCAGGGGGACTGGAAGGGGAAGTCTCAGGGACACTGTGGAGAGAAGGCTCCCGATACATGGCCACTGTGGAGGGGAGAGAGAGAGAGGAGCAGGGAAGGAGAGTTAGGCACAGAGAGACCAGGGCAAAACCAGAGCTCTGAGAGGGCTCCCTTCCCCCTACACTTGCCCAAAGAACCCCAACCCAAAGGAGGAAAGCCCCCCAAATCCCCAAAGGCCAAAGCCTTCCCAGCATGATCTGTCATAACACATCCTCTTTTTTTTTTTTTTTTTTCTTGTGATACTTGGGATTGAGCCAGGGACTCTACCACTGAGTTACATCCCAACCATTTTTATTAAATTACCAAGGCTGGCCTCAAACTTACAATCCTCCTGCCTCAGCCTCCCCAGTCTGGGATTATAAGCATGCACCACCACACCCTGCTAATGGTATTCTCTTAATATTCATAACCTGAGCTGTGTATCACTAAATGTTCACGTCAAGGTCAATACCCTCCCACATGGCCCACCTTTTCTTGAGTCCATACCCACCCTCCAGGAGCTTGGGCACAAAGTGGGCAGCTGCCTTGGTCTTCTTGACTCGATTTCCCTTCATGACCCGGCCCTCCTTATCCAGGCCTAGGTACCAGGCTCGGCCAGAACGGCGCTGACAGTAGAGAGCAGAAGCATACAGGACATAATAATTCTCAAAGACACACTCCTTAAAGCGACACTCGGCAGTGAAATGTGGCTGAGGAGACAAAGACCCAGAAAGGCACACACAGAGAGACAAAAAGACACATCACTGGCAGAAGGAAGCCCTTGGGATGAACAAACCAGGATATAATCTATACATTTTTGGGAGAAGAGGAGGGCAACCACTGAACTGAGAGCAAAGGGAGGATAAGAAAGAGCTTAGGAGGCTCCTGAAGGCTATAAACTAGAGTTGTGGGGGCCCTGGAATAAGATCCCTACTCTCTACTCCCAACTTTCACCATCACCTATCCTGAATGATTCTGGGGAAGTGAGTAATAATCAAGTAATCAAGTCTGGAGGAGACATGGTGAGAAGTGAGGACCCTAAAAGGCTGAAAGCATTGGACACCCAAACAGCCTGGGGTAGGGCTGTGTAAGGAGCAGGGATTGCACACATCCTAGAGAACCTTTGTGGTAAACAGTGACCACATGCCATAAGCCAAAGCTGGAGGTGGGGGAGTCCTGGGTGTGAAATGTCTATAGCTACAGAAGGTTGTATGCTGAGGGTGTCCCCAGTACCCCAGGCCACTCAGCCTTATCATCTCACCGAGCTGTAGAGCAGCCCCTCAGCGTTCATGGCCATGTAATGACCCAGCTTTGCACTCTGGATGGTGACAACACGGAGCCCCACAGGAATTAGGTTGAAGTGGGCTGGAGGAAAAGAGAGGAAGCATTAGTACCTAGGCACTTCACCCTTATCTGAGCTCCCTCCATCCCGGCTCCACTGCTTCCCTTTGGAATCTGGGAGACAGACAGAAAACAATAGAACCTGAAGAGGGAATAGGATTGTCATCTTATATCCCCATATTCCCCCTTCCCACCCAGCAACTGGCTTCCCCTTCTCACTGAAGGAGCTGGTGTCCTCTGGGGTGCCCTGGATGCTTCCGTCAGGATTCGCCTGGAGGTAGAAACCCTGGCGGCAGAACAGTTTGGTGACGATGCCTTTGAGCTGAGGTTCTAGAGAGAGAGACATTCATCTTTGAAAATGACATCTCTGTTCCCAGAAACATTCCTTCACTTGGCGGGATCACAGGAAAGAAAGGAGAATGGAGGAAAGGAAGCGGGTCCCAGGGAGGCAGATCTTTTACCTTCCAAACAAGCTCTCTCCCACCTCTTGACTCCTGGGGAAGCTGGGGTTTGGGTCCCTTCTGTTTCTTCTAGCCACCAGCTTTCAGTTTAATTATTGAAATTTATTTAAATGGCTTAATTCCTACTCTACAGCTCATCCAGAAGGGGGGAGGGGAGAGATGGAGAGAAGGAAAGATACATCAAGAAGCAGCGGGCATGGCAAGACTAGCAGGGCTACTGAAAGGGCAGAGTGTTTGTGAATGGGGGGGTGGGGAAGCGGCAAGGTGACCACAGGGAAGGGGCTCCCCCTCAGGAGCGCGGGTGGGATTGGGCCTGACGCTGACTCAGCACCTGCTGCTGCGGCTGCCGTTTGCTTGGCGCAGGCATTGCCTTGGCCCAGCGCCGGCCAGTCTGACACTGACCCATCTGTCTGTCTGTCTGTCTGTCTGTCAGTCTGCTAGCTCGCGGAGGCCTAGTTCTCCCTGAGGCTCAGCCTCTTCCCTTCACCCAGGTAACCCACCTGGGATTGGGGGACGTCCGGTACCATATCAAGGATATGGGGGAGGGGGCCGTGGAGAAGGAGAGGCAGGCTGAGTCACGTGGAGGCCGGTTCCCACTCATAGGGTGGGCTGCGGACTGTACCACTATGGACTGCGGGTGGCGGGGGAGTAGGACGCGAGGGGCTACCCCTAGGGGAAATGGGAACCGGCTGGAGCCGGGCCAGAGGGACTCCCTGACTGTCATACCTGGACGAGGACCACAAGCTAACATACAGCTCTCCTCCCGGGTCGCTTGCTCTCTGTCAACTTCCTTGTCCCCCCTGTATGTGGTACGACCCCCAAGTCTTAGTGCCTTTTTTCTAGCAGTGAACTGTGTTTGAGTTCCTCCAGGCTCAGGGTCCCCTGAGCCTGCGGACCCGTATTTTGGAGTCATGCAGGGGGAAATGGGGGAGGGTTGCCCCTACTGACTTCTTGTAGTTCAGGTCAAGTGAGGAGGTCCCACTAAGGGGCTGACTGGTGAGGTAGTTACAAGGACACCGGGGGAGAGCTGGGGAGATTGGCTTTGAGCCAAGCAAGCTGGACCCGGAGGAAGCGAGCCTAGGCGTGGAGCGGGAGAACCAGGGTGGGGGCGGGGCGGCCAGAGCTGCAGAAACCCTCTGGGTGACCCAGGCGTCCGGAACCCCCAGGCCCCAAAGCTCTCAATTGAAAGAATCGTGAGAAACGGCACGTAGGCGGAGGACTGTGGGGGTGGGGACTCCCGGGGTGAGTAGGAGCCGCCAGGCTTGCGGCCCCAGACTTAGCCCCTCAAGTCTTTCCCTTTCCCTTGCCCTCGAAAGCAAGGAGACTTAACGTTATGGACAAAAGGCGAGGGAAACTGAGGCACAGTCTAGCAGACTTTGTCATCCGGTCCCGCCCCTTCCCACTTTTGGGGACCACCCTCAACCAGGCCCCATTCTTCAGAGTCCCTGGCCTCAACCTCTCAGGAGGAGAGAACTCGAGGGGAGACCCCGCCCCAGCCGCACTCACCCAGGCCGCGGTCGGGCAGCGTCGGCCGTCCCCCGCACAGTCGCACCTTGGACAGCAGGATGAGGAGCTGCTTCTGGCAAAGGGACTTGGTGCCGCGGGGACACACGCGCCGCTGCGCCGACACCGGCCGGCTGCCCCCGGGCTCGCGGACCTCCCGCTTCTGCCGGATCAGGCTACTGGCCAGCGCCGCCATGGCGCCCCAGAAGAAGACACCCCCAAAACAGTAGGCGCTAGGAGCGCCCTGGGCCCCTTCAGAGGAGCCCTCTCACCAGGACATGCTCTTGACGCTCAGGTCCCAACTCACCGCCCCACCCACAGGACCTGAGGATAAACCCCAGAGCCACCAGCTCCCACCCTTGGGCCCTGTGCTAGCTCCACCCGATTCAGCAGCCTATGCACTCCCCACTTGACCTCACCCTCAAATTTTGTCCCCTACTGAAAACTCTCCCTTCCCTCCTCTACAGTGTCTGTTTCCACTTCCCCTGTCCCAAACCAAGACCCTCCAAATTTCTAAGATATGGTCTCAATATCTCCAAGCCCTTTTCCACCCCCTTTCCACCCCCCAGCCAGATCCACTCTTGTAATCTAAAGGGTGTGGGTCCTTAGTTTTGGAGAAATTAGCTCACCCTACCCCTGCAGGGCCACTATCAATGTCAGGAAGGAACCCAACCTTGGTGCTTTTTCCTTTGCTACCCTCTAAATGAAAACGATCCCCCACTTTTCACTGAAATCCCCCCAAATATCTCAGAATATCAAGGCTGTCCAGGTTTATTGAGATTCCCAGACCCTCTAGCTGAACACCTTTTCCCACTATCCCTATTTCTAGTAGCACAGTGTTCCAGCTGCAGAGACCCTTTCCTCACCTTGTCACCCTCCACTCCTTTTGAAGTTACCTCCAAATCCACCCTTCCTAGTGAATACACCAGGTGATTGTCAGAGGGACCCTGTCACCTGGAAATAAGGAGCATCCGCCCCCCACCCTTGCCCCTTAAATTTCCTTAGGGACAGCTGGTGCTGTTTGGATCCCACGCCCTCTAATCTAACCAGCCCCCTGAAAGAGGCGTGCACCCACGTTGTCAACCAGTCCCCAAATGTGAACAGGCCCCCTATAAATCAGCGCATCAGAGCTTCCTGCCACAGGGCTTCCTCGTCCTCCCCGGCACTGCCTATAGCACCCCCTTTCCTTTCCCCGACGCCCCTCAACCTGTCCTGTCCTGTTGATCCGGGCGACTGGTAGCGGCTGGCTCCGGCTCCTGGCTCCTCCCTCCCTCTCCCGGGCAAGAGGAGCTTCCCCCACGCCCTGCTAGGCTCCCGGACCCCCGGGAAGGAGTGAAGGTGTCTCTGCAGAGCGCCCCGGTCCGGCGAAGTCAGAGCACTGGGCCTGGCAACTGGACTAGGCAAAGCGGCGGCGGCGGAGGCGGCAGCGGCAGCGGCTGTGGGAAGCTGAGGCGGCGGCAGCTACAGCAGCTCCCCCTCCTCCGAGAGCCGGCCCGGGGGCGGGGCAGGGGGCGGAGACGCTAGGAACGAGGGGGGGGGGTGGTGAAGCTGGGCGAACGGAACCCTGGGGTTCCTTGGAGGCCAGGAGAGGGGAGTGTTTCAGAGGCAGGCGGAGTCGAAGCCAGGCCGCACGTCTTGGGGTTCAGAGAAGGAGCGATAAGGAATTCTGAGCCGAACACTGATGTGGGAGAGAGGTTGGGTTTCAGATAGAATAGCAGTCGGAAGAATGGAGCAGGACCCTACTGCCTGGGATGGAAGTGAGGACAGAACTGGATGACGAAAGTGGGGGAAGAAATTGAAAGATGGGGAAGGGCAGTGAGATCTAGCCCGGGGTGAAATCCAGCCTCTTTAATACTTGTTTTTGTGTGACAAATTGATCATTCCCTGTTTTCCGTACCTCTCTCCTTTCTGCATTTTGTCAGCAACTACAGTCTTCCTATTTCTATTGACTTCTAAGAGAAAAGGCCAAAAGAATTGGGGAGAAATGGTTGCAGGAGGTTGCATCTAGGCAAGAGGCATGCTGGTCAGATTTGGTGAAGGGGGATGATCTGGCCAGAGTTGGGGCGGGGGTGGGGGGGAATGGGAAGGAATCGCCTAGGAGGCCTTCTAGAACAGAAACTGGGCCCAGGCACAATCTGTCTTCATGTAAGGGGCGAACAGTTCTCCACGTCTCATCACCAACGGAAACACTTTCTACACGGGTAGGAGTAGCGTCTTTAATGGGTTCCGCCCCCAATGCCCGCCAAGCCGCCCCCCCTTGCGGGCAACCTTGGCCTCCTCCACTGCCTCACGCAAGGCCCGGGCAGGGTCCCCGCGGAGCTGGGCCAATGCCCTGAGTAGGGCTGCCGTGTCGTCTCCCGCACAGAGCTTTGGGCCGCTGAGAAAATAGTGAGGCAGCGTCCCGGCCTCGAGCACGCGGCCCAGCTCATCCAGCAGTCCCAGGCAGCAGGCGCCCGCATTTTCCGGCCGCGCCAGGTAGAGTGCCGGCAGCCGCTCGCACGCCCAGTACAGCAACGTCCGAAGGAGGTAGGGCGCCGCGGCCCGGGTCCCGGCCACCAGCGGGCGCAGCAACGCTTGGGCCGCCGCGTGCGCCTGCAGCAGTGGCGCGGGTATGCGCGCCTTGAGCGCCAGCTCCTGGCGGGCGAAGCAGAGATGCCAGTCAGAGGCGCCGGGAGGCCGGTTGCCACCTCCGGGGACCAGGTAGAAGGAGGCCGACTCCAAGGCCAGCGGACCCGCCCATGAGTGGCTCCGAGCCCCCTCTGGCCAGCCTGTCACGGACACCACGGGAATCAGGTCGAAAAGCAGAAGGCGGCGCGGGGGTCCCGGCGTTGCCAAGAGGACCGTGGTGAAACCCGCGTGGCGAGCTGCGTGCAGTAGGCGCGGAGCCCCCGGGACTGGGATCAAGGACTCGGCGACAGCAGCCAGTGTAGAGAAGAACCAGGCAGCCACCTGGGCGGGACACAATGTGGGCCACGCCTCCGGAGTCTCTTCGGGCTTTGGGACTGGGCATTCGACGGTTGCCCCGGTGACGTCACTTCTTAGTACTTTCAAAGGTGCGGGAGAACCAAGATCGGTGACGTCATGCTGATAAGACTCTGGCTCTGAAACGTCACTAGGTGATTTTTCCATAAACACTTGCAGCTGAGGCTCAGTAACGTAAGAGTGCAGCTGGTCCTCAGGGCTTTGCTGGTCTTTGGGACTTCCTTCACTTTTGCTTTGGTTAATCAAATCATATCCACCTGGGACTGGGGGCCCTAGGCAATTCTGCCATGCCTCCCGGACCATATTTCCGCACACCAGCTCTGGGAGACGGAGCCTTGCGGAACAGGATTCCAGATCCAGTTGCAGTTCTGGCCCAGTGATGTCCAGAGAAAACACTGGCACTAAGAGTGTGAAGCCAGCGTCATAGTGAGGTCCCCGGTTGTAGGGACCTAGCGGTGCATGCCCCAGATCTAGGGAGCCCTCGCGAATCCCACCACGAAGCAGCAAGAGCTCTGCCTGGGGAGGAAAGCGGGGGTCCTGGCGGTAAACTAGACCTAAGGGAAAAGAATGGATGGTGAGGGCGTCGTCCGAAGGGGAGGGGAATGGCAAGGCGGAAGGTTGTGAATTCTCACAGGCGAGAAGGATTACTTACCAAGCAATGAAAAGACGAAGTCCTTAGCCCGGAGGAGGTCGGCTCCCGGCTTGGGCCCGTTACTCCAGCTCTCCTGAACACCGAGCTCCTGAATCAGCTGGGTCAGTTCCTGCAGCTGAGCCCCGGAACAGAAGTCAATGTCCGTGAGCGGCCGGGCTGGGGCTGGGGGCGGCGGGCCCCACCAGGGCGCACTTCCCCAGACCGCTGAAGCCATGCTGTTCTATCGTTTGGGGATAGAGAAAACACAGGAGGTAGCCTAGAAGGGCCTTTCCTTTGCTGCCAAAAATCGCTTCAGTTTTTTCCCTTCTTCCGATGCCGAGCAAGTGCCCCAGACACAGTCCACAAACGGGTCTGCAGACGATGGATTCTAAGTTTAATCTTCAAAACAAATACCTCTTGTGTCCTTGCCCCTTTCTCTGCAGGTCCCCGTCCTCGCGAACGGGTTCACCTGACTCAGCAGGTGAAAAGTAGCTACTGGGCCCCTCCTACAGCATGCAGTAACTGGGCTTCACAACCCCCTTCTCTACCTCCCCTTACCTCTTTTTCGAAAGAGGATTATTGGTCTGTAGCTTACCCCCTAGGGGTAGCTGTAAAGCTGGGGAAGAAACAGGACAGAATGATTCAACAGGTAGTTTCTTCCGGATGCCCACGCCCCTAAATTTCGACCACGCCCTTTCTGTAGACTGTAGGGGTGGCTCGGGCTTTGTCCCGCCTCTCGTGAGAGTTCAATCACTGGTTTCACCAGGTTGAAATCTCGCGCTACCCTGGGAATTGTAGTTTGTTTTCCGCGCTACCGGGGCGTTGGAGCCATGCCCCTGCATCTTTTTCCGTTCCGCTGAAGTAGTGCCTTATGGAAGTTGTAGTTTTTTTAAAAAAAATTTAATTTTATTTTGGTACCAGGCATTGAATCCAGGGGCACTTAATCACTAAGCCACAACCCCAGCCCCAGAGGTTTTTTATTTTTTATTTTAAGACAGGGCCTCACTAAGTTGCTTAGGGCCTCTCTAAGCTGTTGAGGCTGGCTTTGAAATTGTGATTCTCCTGCCTCGGCTTCCCGAAACACTGGGATTACTTACACACCCAATCTGGAAGTTGTGGTTTCTATGGAGTTATATTATCATATCTGTTGGATCCCACACAAACATTCCTTGGATCTGGAGTAGAAAGGTAATTGGATGGATCTGAATAACAGAAATGAATAGACACACTTTAGGGCCTGGGGAGAAATAGGGATCCTTGCATACCAGCAGCTCTGGTCACTTCCAGGAAATCATGACTTCCTCATTTTGGTGTTGGAAAGACTGCAGCTTAGAAAGATTGCACATGACTTGTCCAAGGTCAGAGGTGAGTCAGGCAGGAATGGGTCTCCCTGGATGGAGAGGCATCTTCTTGAAATCAGTGGTAGAAATGTTAAAGCAGGAATGGATATCTGATTCAGGGAAAGACATACATAAAAATGATGCCCACCTCAGATATATAAGAGTCATGGTAGGAAAAACTTTGGAATTTCACAGTTGGGTGCACATATAAAGGTTATTAGGATTGAAAATGAGGTCCAGAGGAAACTCATAGCTAGAATGGATCAGGGCAGTGGAAAATAATCAAAGTCAGGAAATTGCTTTTCAGTAAACTATGCTACTAAGGACCAGACTAAGGGACCAGAACACAATTTAAGCACAAAATGGGAGTAGGAGCCAGGATAATGAGACACAAAGATAGGAAACCAGGAATAATATCTCAGATCATACCAATTTATTGCCAGGCAAGTTATTTATTTTTGGTACTAGGGATTGAATCCAGGGGTGCTTTACCTCTTAGTCACCACACCCCCTCCTCCTTTTTTTGGGGGGGGTGGGGACAAAGTCTCACTAAGTTGCTTAGGGCCTTGCTAATTGCTGGTCTCAAATTTGCAGTCCTCCTGCCTCAGCCTCCCAAGTCACTAGGATTACAGGCATGTGCCACCACACCCAGCCAGGCCAGGACTTTTTACATTTCTTCTGCCCACAGTCTGTCTCCAGGGTGGAAGAGGCCTAAGTCCAATAGCATAAGCAGGGGCACACTGATAATGTGGAGGCATGTAAAGGAGGAGACTCCTGAAACCAGAGGTCAATTTAGGAAACCTAGACCTCAGGAGTTCCTAGTCACTGAGAAGGAGAGTCCAACCAGAGAATCAAGAACACTAAAACACAGCCCAAACCTGGGGACACAAATTTCCATACATCCAACTGTGACCCAAGAAGCCAGCAGGGGTTTTACATAGTCTGGGGTAAACAGGCATTGGCATCCTTACATCTTACCTGCTCAAGAACAAAGTTCTCTGGGCACTATGAGCTTTGAAAATGTTGGGGATGGACCAGGTGCATGCCTGTAATCCCAGTGACAGGAAGCTGAGGCAGGAAGATTGTGATTTCAAAGCCAGCTTCAGCAACTTAGCGAGGCCTTAAGTAACTCAGTGAGAACTTATCTCTAATAAAATATAAAGAAGGGCTGGGGATGTGACTCAGTGGTTAAGCATCCCTGGGTGCAATCCCTGGTACCAAATAATGATGATGATATGATGATGCTGGGGATGGGTGACAAAGGGAAGGGAAATCCTTTAACTCTAAAGCATTGCTCTCTACAGGATTTTCTAATGGAAATGTCCTTGATCTATATTGTCCGATACAGTAGCCACTAGCTATAGTTGGCTATTGAGCACTTAAAGTGTAGATTATGAGACAGAGGAATCAAATTTTTTGCTGAATGTTAATTCAGTAGTAAGTGCTAGCTCAACTAGCACGTATAAAGCTCTGAGTTCAATCCCTAGCCCTGCAAAAAAATTAATAAAAGATGTGCTTCTGTGGACACAATAGATAATACAGAAGGTATAATGAGGAGCTGAGATTGTGGCTCAGCGGTAGAGTGCTCACCTAGCATGTGCGAGGCCCTGGGTTCGATCCTCAGCACCACATAAAAATAAAAATATTATGTCCAATTACAAATAAAAAAATTTTTAAAAAGTTATGATGAAGAATATATAGTTATGATCTAATCTTCACTTCCACCCTAGCTAATTCTAAAGTATATACCCCCTTTGAGAATTTTTTCCTATGTATTTTTGAACAAAAATGAGATAGAAAAAATTTGTTTTTGACATTTTAATAGCCATATTTGGCTAGTGGTTACTGTAATGCAAATGTAGCTTTAGGGTCTGGAGAATAACGTGGCTACATAGATATGGAGGAGCAAGGACATCTCAGTTCCAGTACCCATTTGTCTCTGGGTGGTCAACCTTAGGGCTGGAGCTAGGGCTAGGGTAGATGCTGTCAAACAACCACAGAACACTTTGACTCTTTATTCCTGATGCACTTTTGTTCCCTGTATGTCTGAGGTCCTCATCACATTCTGATATCTCCACTCTCTGATGGTCTCTCCTAAGTTGTCGGGTGCCTCTTGGCAGGGACGCCTGGGAGACAGAGCTTCACACTTGTCCCTGCCCACTGATAACTGTCTTTGGCGGGCATCAAACACCACATGCCCTGCCCGGAAGCCTGGTCCAGGGTAGTGAGGTCTGTTGTTGATTTTGGGAGGCATTGACATCTGGCAATAGCTCTGAAAAGCTGAAGAAACTGTACCCACAGGGCGGTATACCCAGCCTTGGCTGTCTGTTCGCCAGGAGGATGGCTTTAGCTCAACTAGTACAGGTACTTCTGAGAAGGTATGCAGGTTAGTGGGGATCTTGGAAGGGCAGTTTTGATTGATTGGGGTGGAAGTACATGATATATGCTGTTCTGCATTCTCCTTCTGAGGAGCAATCTCATGTATTGATTTCTTCAGGGATAGTGTTAGCTTTGGGGACTGAAGTGGGCCTAGGACTTGGGCAGAGTCAGTACATAGAGTAGGGCTTGGGGTCTTTGGGAGGCCAGGATTTGGGATATTGCCTGAATCCTTGTGGAGACCAGATTCCTGGGTAAGTCCTGGATTCTTGAGGAGGCCAACGTCTTGTGCAAGTGTTGGGTTCTTATGTAGGCCAGGATCTCGATTAATTCTTGGGAACTTGTGGAGGTTAGGATTTTGGCTTTGTTCTGGGTTCCTATAAACTCCAGCATCTTGGATAAGGATAAATCTTTTTTCAGCTTCAGTGGATTGGGTAAGGCCTGGACTCTTACGGCAGTTGGAATCTTGGGGAAGGCCTGGAACCCTGCGTAGTCCAAAGTCTTGGATAAGGCCTAGATTCTTGTAGTCTCCTGAATCTTGGGTCGGGCCCTTATTGAGGCCAGAGGTTTGGACAGAGCCTGGGCACTTCTTGGGACCAAATGCCTGGGTAAGTCCTGAGCTCTTGTTAAGTTCAGGGTCTTGGACAAAGTAGGGACTCTTCTGTGGTCTAGAACCTTGGCCTAGGCTCCTGTAGACCCCTGAATCTTGGACATTGCCTGAACTCTTATAACCTCTAGACTCTTGAGAAGGGCCTGGCCTCTTTTGGAGGTCAGTTGTTTGGGAGACACCTTGATTTTTGCAGACAACAGTGTCTTGGTTGGGTTCAACATTCCTAGAGACACCAGAGCCTTGCATAAAGCCCAAATTCTGAAGGTTAGAATTTTGGGTACATGGTATGTTCTTGTGGAAGCTGGAGGATTGAGTGTAACATGGGCTCCTAAAGACACCCCTATCTTGAGTAATACCTGGGCTCCTTTGGAGTCCAGAATCTTGGGCAATGCCTGGATTCTTTTGCAGGCCAGAGTCTTGAGAAGGGTTTGAATTCTTGCAGAGACAAGGGTTTTCAGTATGGTTTGGGAACTTGTGGAGGCCTGGATTTGGGACAAGGCCTGGGTTTCTGGGAACTCTGGAGTCTTCTGAAAGGTATGGAGTCCTCTGGAGGCCAGGATCTTGGGTTCGGCTTGGATTCTCATGAAGTTCAGGAGACTGGGTTTGGATCAAGTATTGAGAAGTGGTAGAGAACTGGGGAGGAATGGGGAAGTGGGAAGCAGAGAGAGACTGAGGAGACTTAGAGGTTGGGAGAAGGGTGGGTGCTTGTATTAAGGTGGAGGGCTTCTGATGGTTGATGGGTCGATAAAGGACAAAGGTTTTGGGAGGAACAAGTGGCAGAGAAAGAGTGCATGGTGGAGGAATGGTAGTCGGAGAGCTCTGAGCACTAGTTGGAGAATGAAGGCCATGTTTAGAAGGGGCAACATCCTGGGTATAGACCAAGATCTTGGGGTAAATTGGTGCCTGGAAATCTGTGTTTTTCTTCTCAGAACTGCAAGGATGGAAGCTGCAGTAAGGGAAGGTCTTGGACTGGCTGAGTTTCTTGTCTTTGCCATCATCTGATATCTTCCATTCCATGTTCCCCAACTCCAGGTAGCCCAGTGTAGATCCTGCAGAAGGCTGGGCACTGTCTTCACCATGTTGCTTTGATATATGCTCAGATGTTTCAGAACTTGCTAAGCCCTGCCTCTCTTGGGGCCTGGAGAGGGTACCAAAGTTCTTCTTGGAATATCCAGAGTTCTGAGGGTTGCACTTATGGAAAACATTCTGCTTTACCCTGCGGGCATCATAGACCACATGGCCAGTGGAGAGGCTAGGGCCGAAGGCAGGCAGAGTAGAAGGACTAGGAGTTAGGTTGGGGGTAGGGGTGATGATAGGGATAGGAGCACGGGCCAGAGGGGCCATGACTGATGCTGGGGCAGGGGTTAGAACAGGCATCCCAGTATGGGCAGAGGATTGAATTTGATGAGAATGGACTGGAGTATGTGCTGGGGTTTGGACTGATGTGAGCTCAGGTACTTGGGCCTGGGAGTGGGTCCAAACCTCCTCTGGGGTGTGGACTGGGTTGTGACCCTGGGAATAGGCTGAGGCATATGCAGGCACCTGGGCTGGGATGTGGAGTGGGATGTGGGCTGAGGTGTGTTCAGGGATAAGAGCCTTACAGTGAGTATACTGAGAGGTGTGGGCTGGGGTCTGGACTTGGGGAGGAGCTGGGACCTGGGCTGGGGGAGGGGCTAGGACCTGGGCTGGGGATGGGGCTGGGACCTGGGCTGGGGAAGGGGTTGGGACCTGGGCTGGGGAAGGGGCTGGGACCTGGGCTGAGGAAGGGGGTGGGACCTGGGTTGGGGGAGGGGCTGGGACCTGGGCTGAGGGTGGTGCTGAGGCGTGGGCTAAGATGTGAACTTGGTTTTGGGCCTGGGCCCTGGATGCGGTTTGGACTGGAGTAGGAGGTAGTGTACGGGGTGGGGTTTGGGCTAAGACATGGGATGGGGTAGGGATCTGGGTAGGGGTTGGAATAGGAGCTGGAGCATGGGAGAGGGTAGGAGCTGCAGCATGAGATGGGGTAGCGGCTGCAGCATGGGCTTGGCTGGGGGCTGGAGTAGAAGCTGGGATCAAGGCTGGAGCATGAGCTGGTGGAGTATGGGTTGAAGTATGCTCAAGATCCTGGGCCTGGGCATGGATATACTCTGGGTTGTGGGTCAGGGACGGGATGGGGATGTGCTCGGGGGTATGGGCTAAGGAGTGGGTCCCAGCCTGGGCTGGGGTATGGTCTGGGCCATAGTCTAGGGCCTTAGTCTTGCCCTCTTGGGGTAAACAGATTGATACCATATCTAACTTGCTCATCTTCAGGAAGTGGGAGGAAATCTCTGGCCTGGGAAACATGGAGGCCTGGGTCTTCAAGGCTGTGCCTTGAGAGGCCTCCCCAGCTCCCATCATCCCCTCCTTCCACAATCCCCATTGAGCCTCCGTGGGAAGCCCAGCATGTCCACATTGAGGTGGCATCCAGCAGCACCCAGAAACCTTTTCATCATTTGTATCTGGTATCCAGGAGTCACGGTGGTTAGCATGACCGAGCAGGAAGCTGGGGCGACGATGAAAGTGGGAAGAGATTCTTGAATACAGATTCTTGGGATCTGTGGTGCAGCGCATATACACGGGCCTGCTGCCTAGACCACCATGTTGCTTGTCTACAGAGAGGAGAGATGGAACAAGGCCTGGGTGTCAGAAGGGCTGAGAAAAGGGACAGGGAGATAAGAAAAAATGTGACAAATCTACATCGCTGGAGCTCATGCTGGGACTCACTTACCTTTGGGAAAAAAATGATGGAAAAGAATCCGCAAGGAGCCCTTCAGATGTTTCCAGAGCTGAGGGAAGCAGGAGAGGAGAGATTCCAGCAGTAGGGTAAGCTCTGAAGTCCCTGTCTGACTACATCCTAGCAGCCCCCACCCCCCACTACTTCAGTCCCTTCAAGATCCCAGTGTCCCAACCATGCTGCCCGGACCCTGCCCTGACCAGAATCACCACGTTGATCCCCACGTTGAGCAAGATGAAGCTGCCCAGAATCAGAAGAATTGAATCTCCTAAGTCCTGACACTTCCTGGGGTTGGTGCCAGAGCACATCTGGGCTCCATAGTAGACTCGCTCACCCATGGCCTGGGGTCCCAGGACTACCTGGGCCCCCTGGCCCTCACATACTAAGAGACAGACTCCTTTGAGGGGGAGGGGAGAAGGCCTGAGTCATAAAGGGGTAGATGGTTGGAACACAATGAGAGAGGCAGAGGAAAAGGAGGGCTCAGGGTGGAGTTTCCTGGTAACCAGGTCCCAGTACACCTGAGCCTGGAGGCTAGTGTACCTCCACTTTTTCTCAATTATTGCCTCACTGAACTTTGTTCATTCAGCTCCCACAAACACTCCTCCTTCTTCCATCTTTCCATTATTCCTGTAGTTTCAGTAGAAAATCCAGAATCCTTTACCCCTTGACCACTCCTGAGACTGGGAAAACCTTGGCCTCAGAGCCCTAACTGGAATCAAGAGCCTTGGCCTTCATCTTGCCCTACATTGGGCCACTGACCTTGATCTGCCTAGACATGGAATCCCAGATCTGGAGTTAGTCTCTCTCTCTCTCTCTCTCTCTCTCTCTCTCTCTTACCTGTACAGAAGATTGAACCCAGGGCCTCGCACATGCTAGGCGAGTGCTTCATCACAGAGCCATATCCCCAGCCCTTTTTACTTTTAATTTAGAACCAGAGTCTCACTAAGTTGCCTAGGCGAACCCCAAATTTGTGATCCTCCTATCTCAGACTTTTGGGTAGCTGGGATTACTAGTATGCACCACCATGTCTGTCTGACCTGAGTTTCTTGAGCAGGGCTGAGCCTCTGAACCCCTTTTGGGAATGGAGAACAGAGAAACGGGGTGAGTGCTCAGAGACTCATGGTTTGATGTCTGCAGCTGGGAGACCTTAATGTATGGTATAAGACCAGGACAATATATTTTTTTTTGTAGTCATAGATGGACATCATGCCTTTATTTTATTTGCTTATTTTTATTGTATGTGGTGCTAAGGATCAAACACAGTGCCTCACACATGCTAGGCAAACGTTCCCAGCCTCAACCCCAAGGACAGTCTTGTTGGCAAGAACACGGCCTCATACCAAGAAGGGAACACTGACTTCTCATTTCAGGAATCCAAGGGCAGGGTCTCCATCTGGCAGAAAGAGAGCTACTTCCAAACCATAGACCACCACAATGTTTCCTGGACTCGGTTTCTCTTTATTCCTCTCTCCATGACCTGCCCAGCCACCCACATTCTCCTACGGGTCAGTTAAGTTTCCCAGGTCGGCTCCTGTGTAGAGAGGGCCTTGAGGTTGATGTGGAAGGTGGTGGCAGTGAGTTGGCCCGTACTCTGTTCTCCTGCACTTGACGCTTTAGCTCCAGGCTGTCGTACACCTGGTAGTTGGCATTGCCACCTGGATTCCTACTGAGTGGGACAAAGGTAGCTGGGACTGGGGCAGGATCAACAGCTTGGACTTCAGGCAGGGGCTGGGAGCAATGAGGGAGCAGGGCCGAGCTAGCAGCTGGGACCCGTTGATATGAAGCCTCACCCAACATAGTGAGGGAGGTGGAAGTGGTCAGAGGATGCCGAGGAGGCATAGCCTCAGCCCAGTCAGCAGCCCTGCGTCGCACCTCATGAGAATCCCGGGGGTTATAACCCAAATGTCCTATGGATGGGTATGGGCTGCGGTTGGGCTGGCTGTGAGCATGACCAGGGAGATTCCTTCTGTGGGATGGGGGCGAGTAGTGTTCCCGATAGCCCTGGGCCTCCTGCCGGGGGTTCCGGGACACCAAGGTAGTTGGGGGTTCACAGCCCTCTACACCACGCCGCCGCTGATCCCAAGCATCATACAGTGTCTGGCCTCCTGAAGAATAAGGGCTATGCCCCCCAGGGACCCAGGAAGGGTTAGGGGGCAGCGGGCGGGGAGGTAATGGAGATGAGGTCCATTGCTCAGGCTCCATGTTGCCCCAAATTCGGGATTGTGAACAATGGGGTGCAGAGGACTGTAGCCTCAGCTCTGACTTGGCCTCTACACGCTTGGGTAAGAGGCGCAGTTCTGGTGACAGATAGATAGAGGGTGGTGGCAAGCTGGCCAGGATCCCACCTTTGCGGCCCCATAACCCCATGTTGGAGGGCAGTCCCATCCGCTGAACCCAGCCTGGGTTCTGGGGATGTGGGAAGGACAGATCCTCCTCATCCAGGTAGGAGTCCCTGTCCTCCATATCATAAAAGGGTATGGACTGCAGCTGTGACATCTTGCGGTTGTGAGTTTGGTTATGAAAGACTGGGCTACCATGGGAGAATTTTCTGTGGTTCCAAGGCCTCTGCTGTTGGCTGGGGCGGTAACGTTGGCAGCACTGGCGGCATTGTTGGTACTGGCGGCGGCGTGGTTGGTACTGGCGGTGTGGTTGGTGGCGGCCCCGGTGGTTGTGGAGATACCGAGAGGAGGAAGAGGAGTAGCCTGTGGGTTGGGTCATCTTCACCTGTACAGGGTCCAGGACACAGTGGATGTGGATGTCTTGGGCCTTGGCTGGGAAATGTTTGAGGGAACATTCAAAAGGCTGGACTTCATCTGGGGGAGGCAAGAGTGGGTGCAATTGCCATAAGAGTTCAGGTTAGGAATAGTGGGGTTTGAATTTTTGGGGCCATGGTAGTGGTCTCGGGGCGGGGAGGGGTCCTACTCTCTAGCTGCTATACTTACTTTTCTGCTTAATCCAATAGAAAATCTTGTCTAAGGCATTCTGGAACTCATGCCACATCTAGGGGTGGTGGGAGGGATGGGAGTGAAGGCCAGGCTCCCTACCTCCAACACCACCCACCCCAGCCCTAGTCAAGACCCGTCCTGCAGGTGGAGGTGCAAGATGCAGCTGACTCCCCCTCAGCCCTCTTCACCCCTGGGGATGGTCCACAACTGTCACTGACCACAGTTGCCACGTTGATGCCAATGTTGACAAGAATGATAAGTCCCACCAGCAGGAATAGGATGTCTTCAGCATCCTGGGGGCTTTCTTGGTGTTGATTACAGCACCCCAGGGTGTCACTCCAGAGCTGGTTTTCCATGGTGGGGGGGTCCTAGGGCCACTTGGGCCACCCCCCCCACCTGGCCCCGACCCACACTGCATTCATGCCAGTACCTGGAGATATCTACCAGTTGAGAAGGGAGCCAGGTCATAATGAGGCAAGTTAGGAAGAGTCACAATGTAGAGGTAGTAGTCTTATTCACTCTGCTGGCTCTTCACTATCCTAGGCTCCTACTTGATATTTGGTCCCCAGATGCCCCTGAGGTTAGTCTATCCTTCTGTCTCCATGAGGCCTGCTTAACCACACACCTCATTCCTGATCTGAAAATAGGTAGCTACAGTCATAAGATAGTCTCCACAGGGGTTGAATTATGTGTAATTCCCTCAGTTTCTGGTCATTTGAGATATGGCAACATGTGCAGCCTGTTGATGTGCCCCACCCCATGCTACTTTGGGGCCAGCAGCTGGGGTGACTGACTGGATGAGTGACAACAAGTGTCCCCTCTGGGTTCACCCTGCTATAACAGTTCCTCCCTATGCTGACCATTTCCCTGTCATAATCCCTGTAGCACACATCCCAACCCTTCCTGGCCGGGGTTTGCAGCCCTGGACATTAGTGGTCCCTGAGCCCTTTGGCTTCTTCACTTCAGAGTCAGATGGATTTCCATCTTGCTGAGGTTGCTGCCCCCTGCCAGAGACTCCAACTATAGTTTCTCTCCTTCCAAACCAACTATCCTCTTATTGACCCATCCCCCTCTAAGTTGAAAAACTGGTTAACTCCCACCTTAAAGAAATGACCAAAACACAACATAGATGTTATTGTTGATGTGATGAATGGAGTCCTCCATGGAAACGAGGCTCAACATTGCAGTCTGTAAAAATGGTACCCTGAGCATGGCAAGTCCGTTGGTCCCATTGTCAACTATGCAGCAGAAATGGAGGAAAGGCTGATGAGCATTTCCAAAAAGGCCTCCAAACACATGGTAGATGCTTAGTATGTACCCACTGAATGGAAGCAGCCTGAAATGATCAATAATATTGGTTGAATGTAAATGAATGCAAATGTACAGAGAGATAGGGTGATCCACAGATCTATTCACATCCAGGAATCCTTCTAGCAACACTTTAGCATAGTGTTCCCAAGCTATGTGTGTGCATGTGCCTGTGACTCTAACATTCTAGGAGTAGAGCCATGCCTTGGTTTCCTTGCTGCCCAGTGAGCAGAATATTCTGATGAGGTCATGTGGTAAATTGAGGCAGGTGGGAGATTTGGGTAAGCTGACGAAGTGGCAGTGGGAATCTATCTACTTGCAAGAGAAGGGGAATGGAGTGTCTGAGGCCATGAAATTGAACCTTGGTACCTATGTGACCATGATTAAGTCACTCAGTCTCTCAGAGCCTCATGCAACGTGGAAAGGATTGTGATGTTATGGTGAAGTACCTCTTGAGAGCATCTATAATATTTAATCTTCTGTTCCAAGACTCATGGAGGGTACAGGAGCATCAGGTTCTTCCTGGAGAAATACGAGGGACTAGAGACCCTCCCTCTTAGTCATCCTCTCACAAGAAAATCAGGGTATAAGAAGGAACTATGTCTCCCCTGGGGCTGAGGCCTAAACCTGGCCTGGCAAGAACTGGACTTCTGAGGAGCTAGGGCCATGGAGTTAGGGAGTCTCTCTAGTGAAGGGCTATCTGGGGGTCTGGGGCCAGATTTGAGAGCGTCTCTGGACACTTAAGAAAATAGGATTGGCCAGGCAGTGGTGCATGCCATAATCCAAGCAGCTTGGGAGGCTGAGGCAGGATTATATTATCACAAGTTTCAAGCCAGCTTCAACAACTTAGTGAGGCCCTTAAGCAACTTAATGAGAACCTGTCTCAAAATAAAGATGTTATTGTTGACAGACAATATATGACAGAACCTGTCTCACTGTTCTTATGGCTCAGAGCCTCTGGGCTGGGAGGTGAGGGGTTCACAGGGTAAACATAGGCCTCTAGACCTAGCTCTGACTGCATCTCTATTTTGAGGGGCCTTCTCTCTACAGTGAGCTGGAAGCGGATAGTCTGGGAAAGTGGTTCCAGAATGTCCTGTGTCCAGGGATCCCAGAGTCTCTGGGTGGTTTGGAAGACTTGCCAGTTCTTGGAACCATTCCAGTGGCGAGAGCAGATTGCTGGGTACTAAAAAGGGCTGGGGATGTGGTTCACTGGTTAAGCAGCGCCCCTGGGTTCAATTCCCTGTACTAAAATAACAATAAGAAAAATAATAAAAATAGGGTAGAGGTAATTAGAAGCCTTGAAACCAAGGAGGGCCATGGAAAAGGCCAAGGACAGGGCTTGAGAGGACAAAAGGTGGATGAGGTTCTCCTGGGCTCTCTAAGGTCGTCTTACTAGGGAGATCATTCTCTTAACAACCAGGGCTTCTGGGTACCTTATAGGCTCTGCCTTCCACCACCCCCCCCCCACACCACCACAAACCACCTCCTCTCTCCTTTTTATTTTTTTCCCCATCACTTCCCCGTCAGGGGACGATACACCCAGTCCTTTCCTGTCCCCTCTGCAGTGCTAGATCCAGAGGCCAAGGGATAGCAGTGGGACAAGGCCTCCACCTCTCGGGTCAGTTCTCGAAGCCGCCGCCTCACATCCCGGGCATCATACGCTACTCGGATTGAGGAGCAGCGCTGAGGGATATCGGGGACATTCACTGGGCCCAGGAAGGGCGGCGAGGCAGGCTGGCACTGTTCTACCTCAGCCTCTGCACCTGCCCCACTGTTCTTATGGCTCAGAGCCTCTGGGCTGGGAGGTGGGGGGTTCACAGGGTATACATAGGCCTCTAGTCCCAGCTCTGACCGCATCTCTGTTTTGAGGGGCCTTCTCTCTACAGTGGGCTGGAAGCGGATAGTCTGGGGAAGTGGTTCCAGAATGTCCTGTGTCCAGGGATCCCAGAGTTTCTGGGTGGTTTGGAAGACTTGCCAGTCCTTGGAACCATCCCAGTGGCGAGAGCAGATTGCTGGGTACTGAGGTGGGGGCTTCTCATCATCAGTGTCAGGAGCCCAAGCTGCTGGGTTGTGGACTCGGCACAATGGAGAGGCTCGCCGGCGATGTCGTCGTGTGGGTGGGGGGGTCACAGTCATTTTCACAGGGTCCATGGTGCATCGAAGATGGACTGCAGGGGAGCTCTCCTTCTTCGAGGGATGGGTCTGCTTCCCAGGTGAGGAGGAGTTAACAGCTTCTGTGAATCAGGGAGAGGGAGGCTGGTGGGGAGGCTTGCTCCTATAGTGAAGGGAGGCAAGGCCTGGGGAGAAAAGCTGCACCATTGTGGTGTCTCAGAGGGAAGAGCAGCAAGAGGCCAATTTAAGGCTGACAGACATACTTCTGTACCTTCTATGCCCCAACACCCAACCTTGTTTACCTTTTTCACAAATGATAAGGAATACCCGGTGTAAGATGATTCGGAGTCTGCTCCAGAGCTAGGTGTAGGAGGACATGGTGACCCCAGGCAGTTCCTTACCAGGTTTGCCCCCCAAGTTTGTTCCCTCCCACATGGCCCCCTCCTGACCAGGGTCACCATATTGATGATAATGTTAATGCAGATGATGAAACCCAGCAGCAACAGGATGGAGTTGCCCACGTCCTGGCAGCTGTTGGGGTTATCTGAATCCCAGCCAGGCTGTGGCCACTCAGCCATGGCCATGGCGGTCCCTAGGGCCACCAGGGCCCTTAGGCCCCCAGCCCCTGTGCCCACAGTGTCAACTGGCCCACCTGCCTTACCCAAAGTGTCCTGAGGGTGAGCGGGTCACAATGATGCCGGGACTCTCTCTCACAATGTGCTAAGGCACTAGTCTCAGAGTCTCTGGCCCAGGGTTGAGCCTCAGCTTGAGCCCAGACATTGGCAGAGGCCAAATCTTTCATTTTTATGCCTCTCCTGCAGCCAGTCACCTGAATCAGCTCACTGGCTCTCTCCCCTGTTTGGCATCTGTCCTGAGGCCCCATCTCTCATTCTAGAACCACACCAGGCTCTGGTCTCAGATATAGACCTGAGACTCAGGCATAAGCCTAAGTCCTGATCTCTCCAGGCAATCCCAACCGCACAGAGCTATTCACTGAAAAGGTCTAGAGGTTTGGACTCCAAAGGCTTGTTTCAGAGCCCCCCACCCCAACATAAGAGCAGGCAAAACCAACAGTTAAACTTTTATATTTACAATATTCTCTTCATCTTTTGCCAGGTTTAAAAATGTGTACAGAGCCGCAAAGGGTTGGGGTGGGGACATGGGACTGTCAGGGATTGTTCTGGAGAGAGGGGCTGGGCATTGGAGTCCGTGGCTGAATCATGGAGTCCCCCAGCCCCCCTCCCATGCCCTGGTTCTGGGGGCATCTGCCTACGGGGCTCAGGGCCCAGGTCGCTAGCATTTGGAGGGCATGGCTGTTCCAAGAGGAGCTAGACCAGGCAGGGGAAAGGGCCAGAAAAGAACTACGTTTCCATGGGTGGAGGTAGGAGAAGGGACAGTGAAGAGGCAATGTTCTGGGACTCACAACCAGGGATCCTGGACCTGGGTGCCAGTAGAAGATGGCATCCCACCCTTACTCAAGTTTGGCAGTAGCATCCCACAGAAAGCCATACAGCAGGCTGAGGATTCACCCTCCTCTATTGTTGTTCCATAAAACCCTTTCTTTTCTTGAAGCAGGGATTGAACTCAGGGGTGCTTACCACTAAGCAACATTTGTTTTTATTTTAAATTTTGAGACAGGGTCTCACCAAGTTGCTTAGGGCCTTGCTAAGTTCTTAAGGCTGGTCTCAAACTTGCAATCCTCCTGCCTCAGCCTCCTCAGTTGCTCAGAATACAGGTGTGTGCCATTGTATCCAGCCCTTAAAACCCTTTCCTACATGGTTCTTTTCCTCAGAGGCACAAACCCAAGGACCTCTGGGCAGTAGCCTCACACATTTCCTTTCAAATTCTTCCTGCTGGTGTTTGAACAAGCCCTGTCCCCCATGGCCCCCTCCATCTGTTCCTCAGTGCAACTGACCTCATTCCCCAAGCTGTCCATGAAACCTTTTTCCCTGTTACCCACCCCCCCCCCCAAACACACACACATTGCTCTTTTCCTTTGGCCCTGGCAGCAAGGGGGAGGGGTAAAAGAAGGGTAGGGGAAAAGATTGGTCTGACCCTGAGATGGGGACAGCTTCAAACTGGGAGAAGGAGCTGGAGAATGGAGATCTGGGACAGAGAGGGAGGGGTGACACAGGAATCAGAGTGACAACAGGGGGGCTCCTTAGCTGCCACATCCCCCTACCCTGTATCCTACCTGCTCCCGTCGTCTTCTCTAGCCTGGGACTGTGAAATCCTTGACACATTTTGAGTCTTTCTCTCCTCCTCCATCCCACCTACCCAGTTTGGCACAGATGAGCAATGATCTGAGGACTGAAGGAAAGGCTGTCCTCAGGCCCCAGGAGGGCTTTGGTCAAACATGCATGGCCTCTGTGGGTGGCATACGCCACATTCCCTGTCTACCAACTCAGCATCTCTGGGAGAGGGAGGTCCCCAGCCTTTCCTCAGGGTTTGTACATCCCCCTCAGCTTAGGTTAATCTGAAGTCTGTTCCCACCTGCCATGTGAGGAGTGCTGGGCCTGAGGCTGGGGGGGATGCAGGGAAGTGCTGGGGAGAGAGGGACCCTCTGCCTGGGAAAACACACATCCACATGCAAGAACATGTTTCCACTCAGAGAAATGTATCCTGGACCATGGGAGAATTAGTTTCCAGGCAGCACCGGGATGCACGGATCTCCCTTCCCCCTGGCAGGAAATCCGTGTCTGTCTGTATGGAAGGTGAGGGCCTTCCTGGGAGAACGTGCTTCATCTGACTTGTGCCATGGGGGAGAAACATGCTTTGCTGGGGTGGAGGGGGGAGAGGAGGCAGGGGGGGCCTGTGTTTTCCTTGCTGCTCCCCAGGCACCACCCTGTGTTGTCTGGTGGCCAAGAGTCACTGTATGAGAACACATCACTTCCAGGGTCTCCAGGGGGTGGGAGGGGGGAGGAGGTGGGAGAAGGCATGAGGAAACAGGATTCTGGGGTACAAATCCCCGCAGAAATTCTTTGAGGGGGCCAACATGTGTCCAGGGCGGCAAAAAAAACCTCACCCTGCACATGGGAAAATACCCCCTCATGAAGAAAGCACACCTCCATGTGGGAAAAGACTTCCACATTTCCACACACTGAAGACTGGTGTCCCAGTGGAGGGCAAAAAACACCCCCCAATGTTCAAAGGCCCAGGTCCAGAGAAGAGAATGGGCCTCTTTGCATGGGAAAAACACGCATCTCAGTGGGGAATCCCATGTCCACCTTAACACTGTTCGATGATGTGTGACAACTCCACAGGAGAAAAGCCTGTTGCCAAGTCCTACTCCCTGCCTTGGAGTGGCCCAGGCTGGGGAGGGGTGGGGAGGGTGGCCTCCCCATGCCGCCCCCTATACCCGGGTGGTGGAGTGAGGATGGGGTAGCGTGTTGTTGTGGCTGGTAGCGGTGGAGGGCGGTGGGGGAAAGGGCCCAAAGGGATGGAGGGAAGGGGGTGGCGGGGGTGGTGGTGGCCCCAGGCCACTGGGCAGCAGGGTTAGGGCCCTGGGGGCCAAGAGAGGCACATCGTCCGGTGCCCGGCGCAGGGCCAGGGTGTAGTCGGGTGGACAGGCAGGGCGCAGGGCCTCAGCAGGGTCCGCCCCAACGCCACCACCCTGCTTCAGCTGCAGTGACACCAGCTCCTCCTCTGGGGGCAGCTCCCGGCCAGCAGTGGGGAGCAGGGGACCCCCACCAGGCACACCAGAGCCTGAGCCTCCAGGTGGACTAAGCCGCCTGCATCGCAGTTCCTGCCGCCGGTCCCGCTTGTAGTAGAGAGCGGCAAAGGCCAGGATGTTGAGGAAGAGAAGGGAGGCGCCCACGGCCACAGTGACGCTTAGCTCTGTGGAGTAGTCTCGTGAGTCTCCAGGGAAGCGGTCATAGGCCCTTGGGCCTGGCTCAGGCTCAGGCTCGGGAGGCAAGGTTGCAGGTGGTGGGGGCCGGCGTGTGCCAGGGGCTCCAGGAGGTGGGCGGGGAGGCCAGCGTGTGGCATAGGGAGGCAAGCGAGTGGTGGTGGTGAAGAGCTCGGTGTGCAGATTGTGCAGGTGGGGCACAAGCTCCAGCCAGAAGGCCACCTTGTTGGCGCGGTAGTTGTCACGCACTCGTGGCTTCAAACCAATGTGTAGGTACTGCTTCTCTTTGCTGTTGAACTTGCTCCACACCACCTCCTCAAAGCGGTTGGGTTTGGTGTGGATGAACTTGGTGTCCTGTGGCACTGGCTGGTTGGGGTCACTGTGGGCATAGGAGGGCAAGGAAAAGAGGAGTGAGGGTGAGGCTCAGGCTCCAAGGAGGGTGGGGCTGTAGAGGGGAAGGAAGAGGAGAGAGATGCAGAGACAGGGAGACAACAAGAAATCCAGAGAAAAAGTCACAGAGGTAGAGACAATACACGGATGTGAAGAGACATAGAAATTGCCAGAGACAGGGCCAAAGAGACAAAAAGGATAAAGACAGATCACCAGAGACAGCCAGAGATGAGGTCAGAGGGACAGAGACAGACCAAGAGAGAGCCATAAGAGGCAGAAGCTGAGACCAAGAGAGACAGAAAGGGAGAGACAAAAATATATGAGAGACAGCCAGGGTAAAAGCTGCCAGCAGACAGAGACAGCATAAAGTAAACAGACCAAAGAAGGAAGAGGAGCCAGGTGCTATGGTGCATGCCTATAATCCCAGGTACTTGGGAGGCTGAGGCAGGATCGCAAATTCAAGGCCACCCTGGGCAATTTAGTGAGACCCTGGTTCAAAATGAAGTTTAAAAAGGGTTGTGGGAGGGGATATATATAGCTCAGCTGGTAGAGTGCTTGCCTTGTATGCACAAGGCCCTGGGTTCTAATCCCTGGCACCACTAAATAAATAAATAAAAAGATCTGGGGGTATAGTTAAATGGTAAAACACCTCTCTCTGGGTTTAATCCCCAGTAGCATGCAAAAAGCAAAAACAAGAAAAAATGTAAAGTTTTGGGGCTGGGGATGTGGCTCAAGCGGTAGCGCGCTCGCCTGGCATGCGTGTGGCCTGGGATCGATCCTCAGCACCACATATAAACAAAGATGTTGTGTCCGCCGAAAACTAAAAAAAAATAAATATTAAAAAAAAAGGGTTGTGGGAGCTGGGTGTGGTGATGCATGCCTATAATCCCAGCAACTTGGGAGGCTGAGGCAGGAGGACCCCAGGTTCGAAGCCCCCCTCAGCAACATATTGAGGCCCTAAGTAACTTACTGAGATCTTGTCTCAAAATAAAAAATAAAAAGGGCTGGTGATGTGGCTCAGTGGTTTAGTGCCCCAGAGTTCCATCTCCAGTACCAAAATAAATAAAATTTAAAAGTTGGGGATAGGGGCTGAGGTTGTGGCTCATGGATACAGCGCTTGCTGCCTTGCACATGTGAGGCACTGGGTTTGATTCTCGGCACCACATAAAATAAATAAGTAAAACAAAGGTACTGTGTCCATGTTCAACTATAAAAATTTTAAAAAATAAAAAAAATAAAAGTTGGGGATATAGTAGAGTGCTTGCCTAGTGTCTCCTGATTTTGATCTCAGTATCATAAAGGAAGAGGAAAAACAAAAAGAGGACAGAGGGACAGAGGGAAAGGGAGAAATGTCAGTGGATTTCAGGAGAGTGGCAAGGCATAGAAACAGACAGATACAAACTCTTACATACTTAGACACAGACCACAGTGGTCACACAGAAGCAGAGCACAGAGTGGGGGCCGGAGGCCAAGGGAGGAAGAAAGATACCAAGCTAATGCTACCAACTGAGCCCACCCCCAGAAAGAACAGGGACCTCTCTGTCTAATTCTGCTGAATCTCTAACCCTCACCTCAGTGCCTGGTACAGATAAGGTGTTCAGCAATGTCTGAATTGGTCTCACTTAAGCAAAAGACAGCAAGAGCAAGTACTTTCCTGGAGGAATGATGGCCATGTGAAGAAGGGAGGGAGGGAAGGACAGAGGACCAGCCAAGGATGGTGAGGATGCCTCAGCCTGCAGCGCGCCCCACCCAGCCCCACCAGCCCCTTTGGCCCTCACCCAGTCTTGGCGAAGTTGGTCCAGTAGGTCATAACAACTGCGCTGAGCATGACGTCATTCTTGGAGAAGTTGCAGGGGAAGAGGTCAGTGGCACCCACCATGGGCACACCAAAGACATAGGGCAGCTCATCTCCATGGGCTGCATCTGCCCACTCTGGCCGGCCCTCAGCCTGGCAATGATGGTAGAAGGTGTAAAAGTAGACAGGGGACTGGTAATCAGCGTGCAGCTTAGCAGTGGCCACAGCTGGGGCCACCCACTGGTGGTCAGTAAAGAGAGCCAGCAGGGTTTTTCGTCGCATCTCGCCATTGTCCCGGTCAGCCCAGTCTGTGTACATGAACTTGATGGTCTCCCGCAGCACATCCTTGCCTTCCGGGTAGCCATACAAGTTGTCCACAAAGTTGGAGACAGTGAAATCAAAGGCGCTGGCGGACACACCATCCTCACTCTCTGCAGAGTCCTCCACAAACTTGAGGCCCTCTCCCTGATTGACACCGATAAGCATGTCGTAGTTGAGGAATTCTCCCTGCTGCATGAGGATCTCAGGGTCATCGGGGACTACATCGCCGTCCACCACGGGCCCAAAGGCAATGTGGTAGCTAGGGAGAAGGGGGCAGGGTCTCATCACCTGCTCAGTGGCCTCGTCTTGCCCCATGGCCCTATAGGCCCACATGCAGGTACCCCCTGGAAAACCCTTCTCCCCTATTTGAAGACCTCCTAGAGTCCTTCAGGGCACTTGACCTCTCCAGAAGTCTTCCAGAAACGTTTCATGGTACCCTGTGCTCACTCTATTTGGCCACCTCCATTGAGGAAAGGCCGTTAAGAGGCCAGTAAAAGGGCCTGAAGCCCACCTCTCCTTGCCCAGTGGAATGCCCACAGGCACCTCTCACCTCAACCTCCTTGGAACCAGCAAGGAGAAGTGAAGGCCTGGACCTGGCCCTCTCCCACCCCCATACCGGGCAGGCTGCACATCCTGGTCCACCAACTCCCGAGAAGGCTTTCTGCGCAGACACTCCACAGCTTCGGCGCTGTCCTCCCGGTCACAGCCCACCTTGGCTGCCAGCAGACGCGTGTACTTGAGTGGCTGGTAGTTGACAGACCAGCTGGAGATGGCGGTACCACTCTGGGCAATGGCCTTCTGGAACAGTCCTGGCAGGAGAGCAAGATGACCTCAGGCTATGCCATAATAGCAAAAACCAGAAGGGGGATCAGGTAGGGTCAGAGCTATGGGAAGCAGGGCAGGCTGTGGTACCTTCTGAATGGTGGGAGAGGATCAGCAGGTTGACACAGGAGGCCCCTGCTCCAGACCCAAAGATGGTGATGCGCTCCGGATCACCCCCAAAGTGGGCAATATTTTCACTAAGCCAACGCAGGGCCTGGATCTGGTCCAGAAGCCCATAGTTGCCTTTTGCAGCCTGATCCCCAGTGCTGAGAAAACCTGAGGGTAGAAGAAGAAAAGGAGCTCCCTGGAGGTGTCACAACATCCATACCCCCTTTCCAGGCAGCTCAATCCAGCCCAGAAGCAATTTTGCTGGGTTTAGAGGAGCACTGCCCACCAGGCCTACCTCCCAGACCCCGCTCCCCCCAAAGTTGACTGCCCACCCTCACCGAGCACCCCAAGACGGTAGTTGAGCGTGGCTACGATGACATTGCCATAGGCGGCCAGGACTGAGCCATCGAACATATTCCCGGTGCCCTCCATGTAGGAGCCTCCGTGCAGAAACAGCATGACAGGTTTCTTCCCAGAATCCCGGATATCTGCGTGAGGAGGGGGCAGCAGGTGGGCCAGGGGATTGGGGATAAGGACACAGTCAGACCAGAAGCAGCACTACCCAGCTCCCAGGTCTGCTAAGGACCATCCAGGAGCACAGGGGACTTGTCACTCCCATCCCTGGGGGGCAAGACCGGATTCCCCTCCCTCCCCCTACAGCTAGCCCTAGAGAAAGGTCCCTCACTACCCCTGGCCAGGCTGTCCCCAATCACTTTTCCAAATGTGGGGCAGACCTCCAAGAAGCCCAACAGAGGCCGGGGGTGGGAAGTGGCCCTCCTCAGGGCCTATGCTGGTTCCAGCAACCCCCTCCCCACGCGGCAAATCTCCTTCCTGCACCTGGAAAGAGTGCTCTCGGGCTGGAACTAGGGTTAGAAGTGCTGGGAGGGTCCTGCCATTTCCTCAGAGTCAGGCCTTGGGCCTCAAGCTCCACATGGCACCCTGGTCTGTGGGTGAGGGGGTGTCAGGCCCTAGGGTCCCTGGGGGCTTGGTCTCCTCCCTGCCCTAATTCCTTTCTAGGTCACCTCCCTAGTTACCATAGCAACCCCCAGCCTAATTACTGTGGCAGGAGGAGGCAGGGTGGGAAAGAGCCTGCCTAATGAAGCCAGGGTGCAGCTCTGAGTCTTAGACACCCATAAACTGGCCTGAGCCCTAGGTCCTGAACTAAACTTCTTTCTTGCCATCTCCCCAAAGGATCCCTTAATCGTTGCCACACACAGTATGCCCTTGAAACACTCAGGACAGGACTGAGAGGTGAGAAATTCCTGAAGAAAGTGGGAGTCTGAGAGGGCTTGCCAGGTCCTCAAGCTAGATAGTTCCCTCTTCTGCAGCTCCCCCCTGATCTGCATAGTGCCAAGGGCTGGGATCACCCCTGGCCCACAGGCCCTCCTGTGTCTTAGCACCTGCCATGCCTGACTTGCCTGGGTACTCCATCAACTGGAACCAGGCCTAGGTCCCCACAGTTGGTCCCCAGCACCTCACCATCTTTCTCATCCTGGTAAAAACTAACTTTCTGACAGGTCAGTCTGCAGGTCACTAGGACATTCCCCGTCACTTGTACCAGCCAGCTTCCTGTCTCCTCTTAGGCTTTCTCTATAGTCTCTGGACTTCTTCAGCCAGAGCTCCCAGGTAGGCAGCTTCCTCTCTGTGTCCTCCCCAAATTCGCTTCTCCCTTTTTTTTCTGACTTTCCAGTAGTTTCTCCTTCCCTTCAAGGTCCTGTTCTAAATGTCTTTGGTTCTCCCCAACCCTCCCCGTACCCTTTTCCCAGTGTGTGGGGAGGGGAGTCAGAAAGGGAAGGAGCAGGAAGAGGGGCTGGGGCAACAAGAATTCAAAACCAACAACAAAAAACAGGATCAAGAAAGAAGAAAGAAAGAAAAAAACAACAACCAAAAAGCAAGAAGCTCTTGGGGCAGATTCAACAAGAAAAGAAAAAACAACAACAACAAAAAACTCCATTTTGGAAAAAAAGAAAAAAGTTCTTTGCATTTTTTTTTTCAAAATTTTGTGGTGAAACTTCAAGATATTGGGCCCTGTTTTTCAAAAATTTCCAAATTCTTTGATTCACTTAGAATGTTTGCGTTTTCTGAGTCTGACAGGCTTTTAGAAATTGTAGCAGGTTCTTAATATTTCAATTGTGTCATCAATTTGCCAACTTAAAATTTTTTTCCAAATGTTATTTTGCTCCAAATTAAATTTTTTTTCCAAATATTACATTTCACAAGTTTCAAAGTAATCCAAATTTCTTTCAAAGTCTAAATATTTTATCCAATTCTTTGTTGTTTCTCTGACATTCCAATTTTTTTTTTCCACCTTATTTTTGCCATGGTTAGGTTTTCTAGTGGGTCCAACATTGTTCAAATTTCGTTTGAAGTTTTCATAATTCTTTTTTCTAATTATTAAAAATTTTTCTTTTCTTTTCTTTTTCATTTTTTTTTTTTTAGTTGGGAGAACAACTGAGGGGCCTTGAGGGCTGTGGGGACATTTAGTTAGGGGCAGGGCCATGAAAGTCCTCTTATAAGCAACCACATGCAGCAGCGGGATTTTTAAATCTACCTGTGTCTGGCGGATTGAGCGTCGCCTCGTCACGTTTTTTTGTGAGCGGACCTAAGACCGGGAACACAAAACAGAGAAAAAAGGACAATTTTGTGGGGAAAGATGGGGGTCGGGGGAGGTGGTGGATGGGGAGGGGAGGAGAGAAAGCAGAAAAGGGGAGGGTGAGGGGAGGCAGAAAAAATAAGCCAAAAAAAGCAAAATTTGTTTGCAAGAAAAAGAAACCAAGAAAAGAGAAAAACGTTTCTACAACCCAATTTTGTTCCCCTCCCCGGAAAAAGTCATGCCCCAAAGAAAAGGTGGGTTTTGGGGGGTGGGGTGCCTGCGTGGGCTGAGGCCTGTCTTAAGACATATTGACTTGGCTGGAAAGGATTTGGCTTGTTGGTGTGTTTGCTAATTGCTGGAAATGAAACGGATGTTAGAGTGGGGTGGGAGGGGAGAGGAAACCCCAGGAGACCAAGGCCAGCTTGCCACCCAGGCCACCTCTCACAAGGCCCCTTCAGGGCCAGCCAAGCACTGCCTGCTGCCCCACCCAGGCTGTAAAGAGGAGAGGCTGCGCAGAAAGGACTTTGTATCCTTCTGGACAGCTCTGGAGGGCAGAGGGCAGGATGGGGCTGGAGGGCAGCCCACCCTGCTGCTCACAGCCTTCAGAAGCCCTCTGCTCCCCACTGGGGGGCTATGGGAAGGTCAGATAAGGCTGCCCACCCTCCTACCCAGCCTCACCGGCCAGCATTTCTCTTCCATCCACACTCTGGCCTGGCTTCTCACCCCATCTCCTCAGTGTGGGCAAAGCAGGGAAAGGGGTCATCAGGTCTTGCCCTCCACTCCAACTCATCCCTCCACACTCCCACCAACCTCATCCCTTACCCAGGCCTCCTCTCCTCCCACCAAAGTTGAGAGCTTCCGACCAGGACCACCCCCAGCCCCTGCTCAATTGCCAAAAAGCCCTCCTCCCCACTTGAGGGATTCAGCCCACAATTAGGGAACAGGAAACATAGTGCCCTGAGCCACCTTAGCACCCAAGGTACCAGGGGCAGAGGGTACTGGGTGGCACAAGGTGTGCCCAGAATCAGGAAAAGGCCCCATACTAGGCTCAGAGATTAGCACCAGGCTTATTTCAGATTAGGGGATCAGTTAGGGGACAGCTAGAACCTAGAGGCCTCAGGGGGTTCCCCGGGTGATTTTTTTTTTCCTGGATAGATTGTGGAGTCTGCAAGGCCCAGGGTAGCTCTAGAAGATTTGTCCTTTACTGGCAATAATGGCCCCATGAGGACCTACTGGGAAAAGGGCCTCTTCTTTGAGAGAGGGTGTGGATGAGGATGAAGTCAGCAGGGCATGCATGCATGTGAGAATGAAGTGAGTGTGTGTGTGTGTGTGCTTGAGTCAACCTCTTCCTCCCAGAGCTGGTGTGAATATTCAGTGAGATCACCTGAATGTGTCAGGTTCCAAGCAGGTCTGCAATAAGCAATAGTTAAAAATATAGAAGGTGTGGGCATGGGTGTTGTGGGGCCAGGGGCCAAATCATTTGTGTGGAGGTGTTGAGGTAGACAGTCCAGTGGTGGAAAGTACTGAGTGTTTTACTGGGGGAAGAACATAGGGTAGAACCTATGTAAAAGTGTGGAAGTGGAGAGTCCACAAGCAGGAAGTGTTGAGATGGACAGTCTGGAGGTTTGGGGGTAAAGGACTCACAAGACATTGGGATAAGTGGTCCACGAGAGGGAGAGGAATGTGTAGTTTTCTTGTGAAGCATGGTTCCTTTTATTAAGAAACTGGGGAGGACATATGGAGTATGCGGGAGTAAATAAATGGTCTATGAGGGAATAGGGTGCTTAGATTTTTTTTTTTTCGGGTACTGGGGATTGAACCCAGGGGTTATATCCTTAGCCCCAGTTCTTTTTTGCTTTTTATTTTGAAACAGGGACTAAGTTGCCCAGGCTGGCCTTGAACTTGAAGTTCCTCCTGAGTGGCTGGGATGAGCCAACCTTGCTTGGCTAGGATACTTAGAATTTGGATGCATTAAAGTCAAAGTTTCTGTGCACTGTGTGTATAGGTTGTTGGGAGCATGGTTTACATGGAGAGGGGTAGTTAGGAGGTTAGGTACACAGATGGAATGAGGGATACAGGGTAGATTGTCTATATGGGTTGTGAGTGGGTTGTGAGTGGATATGAGTGGGTTGCGGTGCATGAGTTGTTCTATGATTGGCATGAGAGGATTCTGGATGCAGATGCAAGGTGTTTGAGTTGATCTGTACCATCCCTCAGGTGTTGTTACCATCTGAGGGATGCTACAGGTGATCTCTAGATAGGATGTATGGCAAACAATCTGTAAGAAGTGTTGAGGGTGTTGGAGACTGTGGCACAAGTAATCTGTTGGAGCACATTGTCCAGGTATGGGGTCACAGGGCTATAAGGTATATGTGTATGTTGCTAGGGCCCATGATCTCTATATATCTAGGGATACTGGGGAACACAGGCTGTGTGGGTGATGGGACACACAATTTCAAGGAAATGTTAGGCATGTGTACACTGTGAATACATTGGGAATTGGGATCTGTGGGGTGTTGAAGCAAATGGTGAATGTATATGATGGCTGGGAACATGCTCCGTGTATTGAGTAGTTGAGACTCAGTCTATTATGACATTTGAGGACATGATGTGAGTTACAGGTTCCTGAGTACCCAATGGCCTAGGTATTTGGTTGTTTAAAACAGCATGGAGAGGGCTCTGTGGAGGTATTGGCATGTCTTGGAGTATCATGATGGGGTGTCAGAAGGGTAATGTGGGGGCTCCTTGTGCTGATTGTCTGTTGGGATAGCTTGAATCTGCCAGTTACCCTCTATCATAGACAAGTGGGAAATTGTTCTGATTAATCCTGGTGTGCAGCAGGTTGGTGGGAGAATTGTCTGGGGGTGTATGCTGGAACTATAAGCAGTCCTGTAGTGGACAGGAATTCATTAACCTGAACAGTAGCTGGTCAGCTCCAGGAAGGAAGTTTGGGCTGTGTTGAGTGGAGGTGCCCTTGGCAAGAAGCTTTCCTTCAGGGATTCATAAGAATTTTTTACGAGACAGAAATCTCCCACAAGAGGGTGTGAGAGCCACTACCAGATCAGGTTAGGGACTATGGGGGCCACATGATAGAGGGATACCTCTTCAGGCTGCCTGGGGTGGGAAGGGTGAGTAGGAAGAGCCCACATTGTCCTTGAGGTGTAGTATAGCTAAAGTAGGTATGCCAAGCCCAGGCCTAGAAGCAGCAGGTGAAGCAAGGCTGGAGGGGGCTCTGAGCAGGTGATGGATTGATTACTTGAACACCCAGTGGCTACATTGAGATTGGTGCCTGACTATGTGCCTCTTTGGGGAAAGGGTGGATGAGCCTAGCCTAGTGCCTGCTATCCTTACCATGGCTCTCCGAGTGCACAAAGAACTTCCAGGGTGGTTGTGTGTGGGATGATGCTGGAGCAACCTGGCAGGCACCCTTACTTCTCAGAGGGTGTGCAGAGGTATAGGGACATACTGCCCCTCACTGCCCCCACCAAGGCCCAGCTCAGGGGCTAGGAGGTGGGCCAGTGCCTGAGGGTCTGTGTGTGAGTGTTTGTGGGCTGTGTCCACGGGATACCCGGCCTTGTGCCCGCGCCCTTACCGTCCTCAGTGGGCACGTAGAGGTTGAGATACAGGCAGTCCTCGCTCTGGTTCTGCACGTAGGTGGCGGCCGCCTCCAAGTTGTCGGTGAACCACACAGGCAGCATGATGGCCGGCAGCGCCCCGTGCAGGTTCTGCGGGCAGGCGGGCGGCAGGGTGGTGGCGTTGCGCACCCCGGGCCAGGAGGCGGGTGCCTCAGGAGGCTGGAATCGGCGGGCGCCCAGGGGCGGTGTAGCGTAGGGCACGCCCAAGAACTGCACGACCGGGCCCAGGATCTCGTTGTTGAGCTCGCGCCGCACACCGCGCACTCGCCCGTAGGCTGTGTTCACCACTGGGAAGCGCTCCTCCCCGAGGCTGCCAAGGCCCAGGCCCGGGCCGCCTGGGGCGCCGCCCGGACCCCCTCCCCCCCGTTGAGCCCCCGCCAGCCCCACCAGACACAGCGCCAGGAGCCACATGCTGATCGGGGGACCCCCCCTCCCTCCCCGGGACCCCCCCCCTCGGAGAGAGAGAGAAGGGGGGGGAGAGGGAGGGAGGCCCCCCTCGCCCCAGGAGGGAGGAGGGGGCGGGGGACAGGAGGGAGGAAGGGGGCGGGGAGGGACCTGGGTTAGACGGGACAGAGAAGGGGTCTGTTCCTCTCCATTGAGGGGGCAAGGGGTGGGGAAGGGAAACGAGGTGGAAGAAGGTGAAGGCAGGCCCGACCTGCGGGAGGCAGAACAGGAGGGACAGGGTGTGCAAGATACAGACAGACGGACAGACAGAAAAATACGGAGGAGAGGTGGAAGAAGGGAAAGGAAATTGGATGGGGAGGACAGAAAGGAATGGGGAAACAGAAGAGACAAGTGGTTAGTGACTTGGATTTCAGACCAAGTTGCCACCCTTCTTCCACCCACAGGCCCCTGGCCCCTCCTCCCTCCCCCCAGCAGCCCTTCTCTCTTCAGCAGGGTCCCAAGCTAGAGGTGGGGTCAGATGTGGTAAAGGTCCTGTACAAAGTCGGTGGAGACCCAGGGGCCAGTTCCCCAGACCCAGCAGTCCCTTCCCAGCTTCTTTATCCCTCCCAGGCAGGCTCTCCCCAGGGACTCAGGAGTCCCAGTCCCCACCTCCCTGGGAGGGAATGAGACAGACAAGGAAGAGAAAATAAAAATACCAAGTCATTAATTAGCAGGAAGTGGCGGGTTTGTTTATACGTGTAATTACTCCTGAGCTATAATTTCATGGCACTGAACCCCCACCCTGGGCCAGACTTGGGTCTTTCTTGGGACCGAACAGACCCAAGCTCCTTCTTTCCCCTTCATGTCATTCCCTAAGGATTTTGCAACCCTGAGACTCCTATCTCCCCAGCTTCCTTTCCTTCTTCATAAGTTGGGGTACCTCAAGGCAGGGGTTAGAAAAGAGAGGCGATACTGGAGGGGCAAATCCAGGGACAGATGCGTGATCCTGCAGCCGGTTGCCGGGCGACGGGATGCTGCCCCGCAATGTTACCTCGGCAACGGGGCTGCAGCTTTAATCCTGGAGGGGGTGTCTGGAGGAAGAGGGGAAGGGGCTGGCTTAGTTGTGGGGTCCATTCAGGGCATGATGGGGAGGGCAGAGGCGTGAGTCTGAATACTAGTTTTCCCCAATAGTAGCATAGATGAAGTATATATGTTGAGGGGAAGGGGAATCTGGGGGCATGGAGAACCCTAAAGATCCGCCTCTTGCCCCCCTTGCGAGCCAATCAGAGTTTAGTCCTAGTGACCAGGCCTCTGACTGGAGAGAAGGGGCACTGAAGTGGTTTGAAGGCATCAAATGAGCCTACTGACTGCCCCCTCCCACAATCTTGAACAGCTCTGGACCCCAGACACCTCCTCTTTCACTGCATTTTGACCTATGTCCTGGGGGCAAACCTTAGCTTTATTCTCCTCTCTTCCCATCCCATCCATTCCCCTTTCCTTCCCCTTGCCAGCGTCCCCACCATTGCTGCTCTGAGGCCTGTGTACTCAGGGCACCAGGGACAGGACAAGGGAAGAGATCAGACCCAAGGGGCAGATACCCAGGTCATTTCAGCAAGCCCCCCTGCCCCCCACCAGCCGCCTGAGCTGTTTGCTGACGCGGGGTTTTCAGAGCCAGGCGCCAGCTCGCGGGTGGCTCTCTGCAGGTGTCAATTTATTCCAGAGATGAGGACACAGGAATCCTTACCACTCACACCCAGCTATGCCCTCCCCCTCTTCAGATCCTCTTAAGCTCTGTTCCCCCATCCCCTGGAAGGGACTTGGGGTTGGCTTCTCCAGGATCTTTTTCCTATGCCAGGCTAGGCTCAGACACTGTGGCCTTGCTGTCCCCTCTTTCTCCCCCCATGAGATAGTCTGCCTCTGTCACCCCTTCTCCCTCAGGGTACTTTGGACCCTGGCCTCCTCCCCTTCAACCAGCTTCTCTCCCTACTTCCCTCCCACTGGAGCCCTCCCCCAACATCTCTCTCCTCTCCATAGCGCTCCCTCAGAGCATCTTTCCTTGGCCTCTTCCAGCTTGCTCCAGCTCTTGCCTTCAGTCTCTCACCCCGCGGTCTTTTTTTTTTTTTTTTCTTCCCATTTTTCTCTTCTACATCTCTCCTTGGTATTTCTCTTTCTCTCTCCTCCAAATTTCTTCCTCAATTTTCTCTCTCAAGCTCCCTCTTTCTTTCCTGTCTTCCCCTATCTCAGTCTCCCCCATTTTCTCTCCCCATCTCTGTCTATCACATCTTGCTCCCCCTCCTTCTTCCCATCCCTCTGCCTTGCTCTCTCCATTCCAGCCCAGGCCTGACTCCCCCAACAGGGTAGAGTTGAGGGACGGGGGCTCAGGCCGCAGCCCCCCCCTTCCCGCAGTGGGGAAAATGGCTTGGCCGGGAAGGGGAGAAGGAGGGGGAGGGGGAGATGGGAACACACGGGGTCTGTGGGCCCATTCAAAGGATCATTCATAGACTGGAGAGAGGCAGAGACAAAGAGACCAAGACGCAGAGACACGGCGAGAGCATCCCTAGGCGGAGACACGCAGACAGAGCAGGCTGTGGGAAACCAGGCTCAGGGAGGGAGATGGGGAGAGGAGACCCCAGCAGACCACCACGCAGACCCCTCCACCCAGCCTGGCTTAGCTCCTACCTGGCTCAGCCCTGGGGCCGTGGTGCCTCCATCCAGGGCTCCGAGTGGGGGGCGGACGGGCTTCGAGAGGGGGGCGGCGGCCTCTGAGCCCCCGCGGCCCCGCAGGCCCAGCCCCCGCCCGCAGCGCCTCACCCGGCGGGGGAGGGGGATCGCCCCAGCCCCGGGGGGCGGGGCCGGGATCCAGTCGATCCCCGGGAAAAGGAGAGCTAGGGGATGGGATCAGGGGGAGCCCGAGAACAGGGAACCCCGCAGTGGGCACGGAAGAGCAAGGAGGGAGCAACGGGACAGGACTGGATTGGAGATCCACTGGCTCCGTGGGCCCGCTTCGAGGGACCAGAAGGCGGTCCAGGCGGAGGATCCTAAGGGATCGGATGCTGGAGGAGGAGTCCACGGCAATCCCCAGGGGCCCGGGGCCCCAGAGCGCAGGATCCGCGGTGCAGGGGCAGGGATCCAGCCGGAATCCTCGGGGAGGGGGAGGGATCTAGTCGATCCCGAGGGCGGGCGGGAGGGGGAGGTCCGGGGAGTCTGAGGAGGGCGGGAGCCGAGTCCGGAGCCTCGAGGCAGAGGTCGACGCGGCTCCTAAGAGGGAAGGCGGGGGTGGGAGTAGTCTTCGGGGGACGCTCAGCAGCCGGGAGGCCCGGACTCCTGGCTCCGCGCGCCAGAGCCCGCCCGCCCCGCGTCCATCCCAGCCCGAGAGTGATGATCCGCCGGCGGAGCAGCCGCAGCAGCCCCGCGCGTCACCGCGCGGCCGCCTCCCCCGCCCCCTGCCGAGAGAGCGGCGCACACCCCTTGCTCGCACCCGCCTGCCCGCCCGCCCTCCGGAGTGTGGGGGGATTGGAGACAGTGGAAGGGGGCGGGAGTGGACAGACGGACGGATGGACGTAGCCACCCGGGGCAGGGTGGAGACATTCCCCCGGATCTCCCACCCTCCGGGCTCTCGCAGTCTAGGGAGGGGGAAAAGATCTGAACTACAGGAGGCGGAGCATCACACGAAGAAGGCGGGGCCTATGGCAAGGAGGCGGGGTCATTCTTAAAGTGGGTGGGGTTTGGTGGCTATGGGTGGGGCTTGGGTGTCCATGAGACCACCTCTTTTGGGAGTGGGTCTGATTTGAAGCTGAACAGGAGGAGCCTGTGGGAAAAGGGGCGGAACTTTGAGTGGGGACCGGGATCCTCGGAAATTAGCTAGAGGTGCGGGGCGGCGGGGGGGGGGGGTCGAGGAGGTGATCAACTTGGAAAGTGGGCCAATCCGTGACGCAAATCCTCTAGTTCCGCCCTCAACCCTGCTCCCCAGAGCTCCGCTCCTCCGCTCCTAATTGGTTCTAGTTTCTCTGCCCGCCAGACATCTTCGCCACTCATCAGCTTTTTTACAAAGGCGTAAGTACCCGGGTGAGGACCTGGACGCTGAAATGAGCACGGCCCTGATTGGGCACCTGTGGACTCTATTTGCATGGGCAATCTGGATTGGCTGGCCTCTTGGGTGGCCTGGGCGGTGTTCCTCGCGCGCGTGACCACCGTAGCCATGGTCGGACTTGGGGCTGCTTTCCGCCGCCTTGGTGCCTTGTCCGGAGCTGGGGCCCTCGGCTTGGCTTCCTACGGGGCGCACGGTCAGGGGGCTGGGGATACAGCTGGGCTGTGCTGGGGGCGACCTATGGGGTCTGGTGCAGAGGCGGAGCCTATGAGAAGTCCCGGCTTCCCATCGACCGCACAAGCCCGCGGTGCCCTAAACCTTTAAAAGTCTCTCAGCTGGTCTAATTGGTTCCCATTGCTGCCCGATATGTGTTTCTACCAACCGGAAGCTTCCTGGGGGGCGCCCTTTTTCACCAAGGTTTGCCCGGGCCCCCCGGGATTGGGGACAGTCGGTTCTGGCAGTAGATCTGGTCTGGTAACCTTTGCCTTTCTTCTTCACAGGCGCTCAGTTCTCGGACGCCTACTGGAAGGAGGTGAAGTAACTGCTCTGGATCTCCCCGACTTCCTAGTTTATGAAGGCAAAAAGTCTGGGGTCCCCGAGGAAAGTTGTGGGTGGGGGCGAAACGCGTGGATTTCTGGAAGCAGCAAGGGCCACAAGACTGTAGCGTGGGTACTTGAGGGAGCGGAGCTGCAAGCTGGAACTTGGAGGGTGTGGGCGGAAGAGACCAATTCTGGTCCTGTGTGTCAGTGGGATCCCTGGCTCCTGTGTTGTTTATGAAGTCCCCCATGTCTCTTTTTCTTACAGCTCTTTGATAAGACCAACAAACACCATTTCATACACAGCCTGGCCCTTTTAGGGGTACCTCATTGCAGAAAGCCTCTCTGGGTAATCTGTCCCTCTACGTAACGTTGACCAAGCCTATCCACTCTTATTTTACAGTTCTTACAAGCTTCTGTTCTGTTATTTTCTCCTTCAGGCCGGGTTGCTGCTAGCCTCTGGAACCACCTTATTCTGCACCAGCTTTTACTACCAGGCTCTGAGTGGAGACTCTAGCATCCAGATGTTGGGCCCGGTGGGAGGGAGCCTGTTACTCATAGGCTGGCTTGCCTTGGCTCTTTGAGGTCTCTTCTGTTTAATTACTAATATATCTGGGTAATTTGGGGGAAAGTTGGGGTAGAAAGGGGATTAAAAGAGAAAAGCAAATGAAGAACTTCGAAATTTTTGTTCATTTAACCTTATGGAGCATGAAATCTCAACCTTTGAACTTCTTCCTGGAAGAAGTTCTAACACTTCTAACACTTATCATTGAGCCTTGGTTCTGGGGATTCTGTTCAAGTTAACTTGTGTTGATGTTCTTAAACCGGCAGGCATCAGAGTCATAAGGAATGCTCCAAATAATGCAGATTCTTACTGAAACCTTTTGGCACCTGAGAGCCTGCATTTTACAAAGTTTATCAGTAGTTCTGATGTTCACTAGAATTTGAAGATTACTGTAGGATTGTGATTCAGCTCTGTCATTCTACAAATTTCTCACCAACTTACTGTAAAAGTGGAGAGTTAAAACAAAGCAGGTCAGGAGGAGTATCATTAGTTATAAACTACTTTGCAGTGTAAAGCAGAAATAATATCATATATTGGGGAATCAGAAAATGCTTCACTACTTGAGGTGATCCTTAAAGGACCTCTCTTGTATGGAGGACATATAATGAACAAAGAGATTGAGGTGGGGAGAGGAAGGGTTTGGAGACAACATGAGTCTTCAGTGTGTGCTGAGTTTCTGAATTAGGCAGGAAACAAATGAGAAAAGTTGGCAAGACAGACTGGACTGGCACAGCATGGAGAGAACTGGAAGATGTTTGGGAGGACAGCATTAAGTAAACCAGTGTTGATCTTGTATCAGACACACAAGAAGGTTCAGACATGAGCAAGACAGATGATGTCCTTTCCCTGATGGAGTTTCCCATCTAGCAGTGGAAATGGACTTTAAACAACAAAACACCCAAATATATCAGTTGTGCAATGTACTGAAGGAAAACAACAATGGAATAGCTGGGCTATAGAAGATACCCCCACCCTTTAGATGGGAAGACCTGGGGGTCCTATTGAAGGTGAACTAATGATGGGCAAAGTGGAGAAGTGTATTCTAGGCAGAAGGAATAGTTGGCAAGACAAGCTGAAAGGGACAGCTCAAAATCCTTGTGACAAAGAGAAAATGTGGTGAGTTAGAGAAAGGACAAAACTAGTTCGCCTGTCATGTAGTGGACCAGGGGGTCCTGGATGGCTGGTATAGGCTTTGCAGTGGTGAGTTGCTTGGACTCAATTTGCAGTGCAGTAGTAAGTCTCTGAAAGGTTTAAGTCATCCTTTTTAAAGTATCTTTCTTTTTTCCTTCCTTCCTTTTTTAATTGCCATGCAATTGCCATACATTTCTATTGTATCTTCTTCATATGAAGATGATACAATAAGGCCTCAGAGGAGACCCAGGGCCTTGCACATGTTAGGCAATTGTTTAATCACTGAGCTACATCCCCAGCCCTTTTTATTTTAAATGGCAGGGTCTTCCTGAGTTGCCCAGGCTGGCCTCCAACTTGGGATCCTCCTGCCTCAGCCTCCTGAGTAGTTTTGCACATTTGATAAAGTGTAATTTGTACATATATATTTTTTAAGAGAGAGAGAGAGAATTTTAATATTTATTTTTTAGATTTCAGCGGACACAACATCTTTGTATGTGGTGCTGAGGATCGAACCTGGGCCGCACGCATGCCAGGCGAGCGTGCTACCGCTTGAGCCACATCCCCAGCCCTGTAATTTGTATATTTTGAGGGTACATACTTAATTTTCCTGAAGGTATACATTAAAATAAATGTGAAGTGTGTAGACCCTTTCTCTAAATGACAGGATTTCTAAGTAATCTTATCTATTTCTAGGTATTTCATCTAGTCCCATATCTTTACTTACAATCTGCATACTTTTTAAATTTTTTTTCATTGTTGATAGCCCTTTATTTATTTATATGGGGTGCTGAGAATCAAACCCAGTGCCTCACACATGCCAGACAAGTGCACTACCGCTCAGCCCCAGCCCCAGCCCCAATCTGCATACTTTGAAATCCAGAATTTCTATCTTCTACCCTAATCTCCACTGAGTTCCACAGCCCCATACCAGCAGCCCTAAGTAAAAGTGTATCAGAGATCTGTAAGAATTCCTGGTGGCTGGCTTAAAGATTGAGAGGGCCAGGAGTGAGAGATGGGATAGTAAGGCCAAATAGTAGAGAGTCTTATGATGTGAGATTATCCTCTCTCCTGAGGGCAATGGGGCATTTATATCCAGGGAGGTGGCATGATTTGAGTTGTATTAGTAGAGGATCACATTTCTTCATTTGAAGACGATACAACAAGGCCTCAGAGGAGACCTCCAGAGTGAGTGGCCTAAAGATCTAGTGGCAGAGTGAAGGCTGGCTCCTCAGTCTCCTACTTCGCAATCCAGTGCTCTAGCATTTTCATCCATCTCAGATGGCATCTAGGGCAGAGAGGAAATGTCCTGGAGGAGACCCCAGGTATCTGCATTGGCCATCTTCCATGTAATGAGTTCCCTAATACCTTAGCTTTGGTCCTGTCAAGTGGCTGGGCTCTTGGGGGAACCAAGATAAATAAAGCTTGATCATTAGCCCCCATTATTACTATTGTGATTTATTAAGTGAGGTATTTAAGTTAGGATTGGTATGGTCAGGTGTGACACAGTGAAGGACAGACAAGATTGGTGAAAAGATTATTACAGATCACAGAAAAGAGATCAGTATACTTCACAGGGAGGTATAAGGAAGGGAGTCCAGGATGCACATGCTCAACCAGCAAGTGGGAGCACTAGAGATGGACTTGTGGACTGAAGTGGTTTCCCATGATAGAGCTGTATTAGATAATCTGAAGGGAGCACAAGGCTAAGTTGGAGGCAATCAAGTGTTATACTATTGGATTCACCAGAACTAAAGTCAATGTAAACTTGTCAAATGGTTCAGGGTCTGGGACTTATCTACCTAGAACATAAAAAGGGGACTGGATGGGGAGTTCTTTGAAATATATAGGTCAAGGGAGACAGACCAAAAGCAGCATAACCAGATGGATGCCAAGGTTAGGGGTATAGCTCAGTGGAAGAGCACTTGACTATCACAAGGTCTTGTGTTCAACCCCCAACATCACACACACATAAAAAAAGTGACTGCCAAACATTATAAATGAGGATTATGACAATTCCTGAACATTGTATCAGATTTCTCAACATTCCTGCAAGTTAGTAGAAGAGGAAGCTAAGGAAGATGCAGTGACTTGTTGTATATTATCCAGGTAGGATCTGGACAAGCTGTGATTTAAATTCTTCCCTGTTCAGCTCCCAGAGCTATGTTCTTTTCTTCTACAAATCAGGAAATTCAGATTTCAGCAGTGAAGATAGAACATCTAAAAAGATTAATATGTTGAGGCAATGTGTTCAGTGTTACAACTAGAAGTGGGCTTGTTTTGCCTTTGGGGATTGGCAATACTTCAGTTTGTTTCCTGGGTTTTTAGCATGAACAGGAAATAACTAGAAAAAAGAGAAATACAAATTAAAACTACACTGAGATTCCATCTCACTCCACTCAGAATGATAATTATCAATAATACAAGTAACAATGTTGGTGAGGACATAGGAAAAAAGGTACACTCATACATTGTAGGTGGGACTGCAAATTGGTGCAATCAACATATCAGTAATAAATCAAAAAGGAGAACAGTATATCAGAGTGGCCTAAAGATCTAGTGGCATACTGTATTGGGTGGGCAGGCAGAAAATGATCAGAGTAAGGTTGAATGTGTACTGTGCAGAAAGCTCTTCTGAGCCAAGTGAAAATCAACTTGGAAATTCTCTTTTTCTCCTGTGTCCACGCCATCATCAAGTTATGTGAGCTCAAGTGCATATCTGGAATCAGATCATTTCTCACCACTAACATTGCTGTCACCATGGTGCCATGTCTAAGTCTATCAGATTGCACTTAGATTTCTTTAAGAACTTCCTCCTGCCTTTGCCTACCTACAGTCTTCACTTTTTTTGTTGTTGTTCTTTTTAGATGTAAATGACAATAGAGTGCATTTTGACATATCCTACCCTAGATAATATAGAACAAGTCACTGCATCTTTCTTAGCTTCCTCTTCTACTAACTTAGTATAACTTATTCTAATTAGGATCCCATTCTTATGGTCTTACATGATATGGAGTTTTACTGCTCATGTATTCATATATGAACATAGGAAAGTTATGTTCAATTCATTCCCTTTTGTCTAATCCAATGAACTTCTAATCCTCCCAACCCCCCACTGTGTGTTAGCATACACATATTAAAACATTCAGCCTTTGGTTTGGGAGGATGGTTTATTTCACTTAGCATGATATTTTTCAGTTCCATCCATTTATCTTCAAATGCCATCATTTCATTCTTCTTTATGGCTGAGTAATATTCCATTGTGTGTGTGTGTGAGTGTAGGTTGGTTCCATAGCTTTGCTATTGTGAATTGAGCTGTTATAAACATTGATGTGGCAGCATCACTATAGTATGCTGATTTTAAGTCCTTTGGGTATATGCCAGGGAGTGGGATAACTGGGTCCAATGGTTCCAAGTTTTCTGAGGAGTCTTCATACTGCTTTCCAGAATGGTTGCACCAATTTGCAGTCCCACCAGCAATGTATGAGCGTACCTTTTTCCCCACATCCTCACCAACATTTATTGTTACTTGTATTATTGATAATTACCATTCTGAGTGGAGTGAGATGGAATCTCAGTGTAGTTTTAATTTGTATTTCTCTAATTGCTAGAGATGTTGATACTGCCTACTCTTGACAGAGCAACCTGAAAGAGAGCCTCATAGTAGAGATCCAGTAGTCCTTGACCTTGGCTATATATTAAAATCTAGAGCATTCTTAAAAAGTTCCTATGCCTGCATCTCACCCTGTATATTCAAATTTAATCGATATCAAGTGAGATCCAGGCAGAGATGTTTTCTAAAACACTCCAGATGATTCTAACGTGTAACCAGGGTGGAGAACCACCATTTCACTGCATTTTAAGTTTCATGTCTTGCCTGATGCAGTGGCGCAGGTCTGTAATCCCAGCTGCTCGGGAGGCTGAGGCAGGAGGATCTAGAACTTAAAGCCAGCCTTAGCAATGGTGAGGTGCTAAGCAAGTCAGTGAGACCCTGTCTCTAAATAAAATACAAAAAAGGGCTGGGGATGTGGCTTAGTGGTTAAGTGCCCCTGAGTTAAATCCTGGATACAACAACAAAAAAGTCTCATGCCTCCTCTCTGTCTAAACCTTCCAATATTTTTTAGCTCAGAGTATAATCCAATGGTCCAGAAAGGCCTTATGTGATCTAGCTTCCTATCGCCTCTGTGACCTTCATGTTGTTAACTCCTTTGTTCACTGAACAAGTAAGGCACACTTCTGCTGCAGGGTTTTTGCCCTTTGCTATTTCCTCTGCCTGATATACTCTTCCCCAGAAACCTTCCTGGCTCAATCCCTCCTTCAGGTTTTTGCTCAGCTATCATTTTCTCAGTGATGCCTTCTCTCTTTAAAAGTACAAACCCAGCAAGGTGCTCTGGTATGTGCCTACATTCTCAGCTACTATGGAAGCCCTAGCAGGGAAGATCCCTTGAGCCCAGCCAGGAGTCCAAAATCAGCCCAAGCAATATTTTTTTTTAAGCGGATCTGGGTGGGGGGTGGGGGTTGGTGGCCAGGGATTGAACTCAGGGGCACTCAAACACCGAGCCACATCCCCAGCCCTATTTTGTGTTTTATTTAGAGACAGGGTCTCAGTTGCTTTTGCTGAGGCTGGCTTTGAACTTGCAATCCTCCTGCCTCAGCCTCCTGAGCAGCTCCTGGGATTACATGCATGCGCCAATGCACCCAGCTCTGGGCAACATTTTTGAGACCCCTGTCTTAAAAAAAAAAAAAAAAAAAAATTTGCAAGCCTGTGCTGGGAATGTAGTTCAGTGGTAGAGCACTTGCCTAGCATGTGTGAGGCCCTAGGTTTGATCCCCAGCATTGCAAAAATTAATTTAATTATAAACCCTATCCATCATTCCCTATCCTTATCCTGCTCTATTTGACTTTCTAGCACTTCTCTCCATCTGACTTTTCATCTGTCTTACTTATGTCTCTTCCCCAAAGAACATGTGCAGTTTTAAAAAAGACAAACTTTTGATCTCCTTGAGCACATGTTCTATTGGGGAAGAGACATAAAATTTGGGTCTGAAGCACATGATGATTGAAGCTTTGGAAGAAGCTGAGCAGCCCTAGGACTAGTCCAGAGGAACATGGACATAGGAAGAGAAGGAGGTCCCCAAATGTGTTTATCCCTATGCTAATCTTTGTTGAGTGATCCTTGCATCTGCTTGGTTAATAGACAGGCACCTGAGGGAATCCTGGACTCCTCACCCCCCAACCAAATTCTAAATTATTGTCTAAATATCTCTAAAGCCAATCACTTCTCCTTGCACCATCACTACTACAACCACCCCTTCCATAGACTGCTAACAACCCAGTCTGGGCATCTCAATCGTTCTCTACATTGCAGTTTAACAGATCTTTCTAAAACATAAATTTGATCTCTCCAGGTCTTAAAATCTTTGGGTGGGTTTCTTGCTGCCCTTGGGGCCAAGTCCCAGGCCCATAAAGCCCTCTGTGTATGTCATTGCCTCTCTAAATACACCTCTTTCCAGCAGTCCCCAAAGTGTAAGTAGAACTTCAAATACCTAGCCGGGTGTGGTGGAGCATGTAATCCCAGCAGCTTGGGAGGCAGAGGCAGGAGGATCTTGAGTTCAAAATCAGCCTCAGCAAAAGCGAGGTGCTAAGCAACTCAGTGAGACCTTGTCTCTAAATAAAATACAAAATAGGGCTGGGGATGTGGTTTAGTGGTTAAGTGCCCCTGAGTTCAATCCCTGGTACAAAAAAAAAAAAAGAACCAACTTCAAATACCTCCCTCAGCTTAGGACCCAGACTAAGAAACTCCTCTTAGGGGAAGCCTTTTCTGGCTAAGCTTCCTCCTCCATAACCCTGAGCCTCACCTCACGCACACTCTTTATGGACACTGTTTGGCTGCCTGTCATCCGCGTGGCTGGAGTACAGGACGTACATGCAAAGTGCCTGTGGGGGTCACCAATGCGTCAGGGAGAAGACAGCGAGGTCGCCCTAGGGAGGTAGAAACAGGGCCAGGAACTAGTCCTGGAAGCCAGAGAGTGTATGTGAGGGTGTTCCGCTGCATCAGCGAGGCCCGAACCGCCCTTGGGAAGAGGAAACCAGGGTCTAGCGCGCCAGCGTCAGCTGCTCTCGCTTCCCACCAAGGGGCATTGAGCATTCAGAGCTATAGGACCTGGCGGGGGTCTCAGGATTGGGCCTTAATCGGCCGCCCTCACTAGGCGGCCTCTTCTCAGGCATCTGCAGTCCGAGCGGAAGAGGAGGACACAGCGTTGATGCCAAGGAGTGCCAAGTGCAAGGTCCGCGGCCCGGCAGGAAAGGCGGCCTTCACTGTGCGCAGACTCGCCTCCCGGGGTGTGAGGGGTGGGGCCTGGACGATTGAGGGGCGGGGTCACGCCTTGGGCCCGCCTTCTCTAGCGCCTGTGAGCTGCCGAGTGCGCGGTCCCCGCGTTATTCTGGGGGCTTCAGGTGAGCGGGGACATAGAGGGATCAGGGAGGCCTCCCTCGAGGTCTGTTGGTTTGACTGCAGGTCCATTTGTCCTGCCGTCTGCCCAGAGCAATCTTCTCGGAGAATGGGCGAACAAAGGGAGGGGGCGGTTCTGGGGCCCTTGAGGGAATCCAGGGTCCCAGGTACCCCGCCCCTCCCGCTGACACTTTCGGTTTCTCCCCGAGTCATAGGCGCCGCCCAAGAGACCCTGGGCCGGCGCCGGGCGCAGCTGCCTCTCTGCGTTTGCCTGTCCGTCTTTGTGTCTGTCTCTGTGTCTCTCTGGCTGTCTCCGAGCTTGCCTCCACTTCCAGAACTAAGCCGCCCCGACACCTCCATCCTGCGAAAACCCGACCCTTTCCCATGTCAGGTAAGTGGGCGCGAGGTGGGGGTCTCCGTTATCCCCCCCACAGACTTGGGCACCGGGTGTCGAACACATCCTCTAGGAATGTGCTCAGACTGGCTGTGCGGGCCCTCCCGGGTAGCCACCGCCCTGCTCCCCTACCCCATCTTTCTCCGCCTCTTCCTACCACATTTTCCGTGGAGCCTCGCGGCCCTCGGGCTAAGAAAGGGCGGGGGGTGCTCACGGTGCTTTCTAATCTACCCCTGTCTTCCACAGGCTACTTGCCCCCCAAAGGCTATGCCCCTTCACCCCCACCTCCCTACCCTGTGAGCGCTGGGTACCCAGAGCTGGCGCTGCATCCTGGACCCGGGCAGGCGCCAGTGCCTGCCCAGGTGCCAGTGCCTGCCCAAGTGCCTGCCCCTGCACCAGGCTTCGCTCTCTTCCCTTCGTCTGGCCCGGTGGCCCCAGGGTCTCCTGCCCCTTTCTTGCCACTGCCAGGGGTTCCTTCTGGCCTTGAATTCTTGGTGCAGGTAAGTGGAAGGGAGAGTGACGGAAGAAGAACTGGGCATTCAGGCCAGCCGTTTGATGTCAATGCTATCCCTACTCTTTCCAGATTGATCAGATCTTGATTCATCAGAAGGCTGAGCGAGTGGAAAGTAAGTAGAAATCCGAGTCAGTTGAGCATGTTATCATGGCAGGGATGGTAGGTTCCTGGACGGGTGATGTGCATAAACCTCAGCTTGTTACCTTTGACAGCTTTCCTAGGCTGGGAGACCTGTAACCGGTATGAACTGCGCTCGGGAGCTGGGCAGCCCCTGGGTCAGGCGGCGGAGGAGAGCAACTGCTGCGCCCGTCTGTGCTGTGGCGCCCGCCGGCCACTGCGTGTCCGCCTGGCAGACCCTGGGGACCGTGAGGTGCTGCGCCTGCTCCGCCCGCTCCACTGTGGCTGCAGCTGCTGCCCCTGCGGCCTCCAGGAGGTGGGCGGTGAGGGATGAGACCTGGGAGAGGCTCCAGTGGGGGGCGGGCCTTGATGGGACCCACCAGGGTGGACCCACGTGAGAGTGAATGCTGTGGGTGGGAACCTTAGTGAGGGGACTAAGTAGTAGTCTGAAGGTAGAGCTGAGACCAATGAGGGCTTAAGCCAGGGTCCTGGGCTCGGCAATGATTCTAACTGCCTTCCACTCCAGATGGAAGTACAGGCTCCGCCCGGCACCACTATTGGTCACGTGCTACAGACCTGGCATCCCTTCCTCCCTAAGTTCTCCATCCAGGATGCTGATCGCCAGACAGTCCTGCGAGTGGTGGGGCCTTGCTGGACCTGTGGCTGTGGCACAGACACCAACTTTGAGGTATTAGAAATAAGGGAAGATTCCTGGGAACTTCATAAACCAAGATGGCAGCTTCCATGAGGCAAGATGGCTTGACTAAGACCAAGCCCTTGACTTCATCAGTCCAAATCTATTGTTGCTCCTACTGTACACTTCCAATTTCCCTCCATTCAGAAACGGGATAGCCCTGTGGTTTTAATATAAAAGCACAGCAAAAAGGATTTCATCCTCAAGAGCAAATCTGATTGTTAATTACAACCCTGTGTTTTGTGTGCATGTGTGGAGGGGGATCCAAGGCCAGCCTGGATTTAGGGTGAAGGATGATTATTAAGTCTGTCAGGGACTGGGCCCATGTGGCTGGTATGCATGAGTCTGTGATCCTATTCTCCGGAGCAAGCCTTGATTTAGTATCCCAGCTTGCCCTGCTGACCTTGAAGTCCAAATGACCCATCTGACATGAAGTCTAGGTTATGCCTTTTCTCTGTGCCTATCACCAACCTGAAGCCTGGAAAATTCAAGTGGTGAGAATTTCAGGAGGCCTGGGAAAACATCTTGGTTTCTAGAAGACAAGAACATTCCACAGTCCCCTGAGTTCTTTAGGGGATAATTTTCTGTGCGGATAAGAATAAAATAACAGGTATCATCCCATAGACTTTCCAATGCTTCTGATGAGGTGCTTTACCTCCTAAGGTAACTTTTAAAAAGTGAATCACCTCGATAGAGGAAGTTTCTGTGATGGGAACCAATTTAGGAGGAGACAATTGTGTGATCTCTGTATGGAAATGTGTAAAATGTGAGGTTCTTATAGGTCCAGTGTCCCTTTTACGCCATTATAAATGGTCCATACTTGAAGCTGTTTGACTTTGAGACTGTTTGACCAGCTGGGACAGACCTTGCCCAGCCTGAGCCTGGGCCGCAGGAAGTGTTCCAGAGCTGTAGGATAGAAAGGAAGGGGATGGACAGGATATAAAAGGAAATCACTCCAGTTCTAGTCACTGGAGACTAAGCATAAAAAGGACCAGGAAGTCACTATGAATTACCACCCATTTGTCAAGATTGTTTCTTCTGGGATCAGAGAAGTCTATGGAAATCATGGACCCAGAGATCCATAGGCTTGGATCTCTGTAGATTAAGCTCAAATTCAATCCTGGACAAGGCACAGCCCTACTTTGCAGATTAAAATCACCTTTGGGCAGACATAGCTTTCTAGGAGCTTGCTTGACTAGTAAAGTACACCACGATTTTGTCATCCTTCTTTGCCATCTCAGCCAGGCTACTTTGTGCAGGGTACAGACTGTACTGTGGGTTTCTGGGACACTGGTAATCAAAGAAAATCTAGCAATTAGTTAAACACTAAGTGGATTTTGGGCTTCTATTTCCTCCCACCACTGATGTCCAGGTGTGGCCTCTAGAGAACAACAGATGTGAGTCTAAATCTTGATTTTCCCTATGTATTTGTAGCGTGACCCAGGGTACCTCAGTTCCCCCAGCTTCTATAGAAACCCAAAGCTCTTAGCAAGATTCACAAAGTGTAGAGCCTGTACAATACATACATGGCAACTGTGGGAGTGAGATTTGAGGCAACTGAGATTGGTTGCATCCTCCCCAGTTGGGTCTTTCTCCCTCCCAACAGGTGAAGACTAGGGATGAATCCCGCAGTGTGGGCCGCATCAGCAAGCAGTGGGGAGGACTGCTCCGAGAAGCCCTCACAGATGCAGATGACTTTGGCCTACAGTTTCCACTGGATCTGGACGTGAAGGTGAAGGCTGTGCTGCTGGGAGCCACATTCCTCATTGTGAGTTGGCTATCTCTGCCCCTTCTGCCTCTCATTTGCTGTTATGTGAAGCTTTGTGCACTTCCTCGCCTTTCTAGGAGGTTAGAGACAAATGTTATGGGGGGTTGTGGGTCCAGACCTGGGTTGTGATGACTGAGCCAGATGGGCTCAGCCAGATCTCCTGTTGACGGTGGCCTTTCCTCAGGACTACATGTTCTTCGAGAAGCGAGGAGGCGCTGGGCCTTCTGCCATCACCAGTTAGAGGCTGCCTCTGGGTGAGGAGACCATCGCCTCAACAAGAATTCAAGATGGTCCCCTGCCCTGGCCTGGCCCCTCCTCAGAGGCAGCCCCTTTCTTCCACGTACACTGCAGGGAACAGACACGGGTGCCTGAGTGGCTGGGGGCATGATGCCCTATCCTTACCCTCTCCCCTGGCCTCCTTCACCTGTGGCTCTGCAGAAGGGTGTGTATGAGAGCCCTACCCTGCTGTCTCCTACCACTGTCTCCCAGCAGTCCCTTTGCACACAGGCTTTCAGACTGTCCCTACCCACTCCTTCCCAACTCCTTCCAGGGTCTCTGTACCAGAAGTGGCCTTTGGAACCCAGGGCTTGGATTTTACAACAGGGCTGGCAGGGGAAGAGCAAGTAGCACCAAAGATGGCAGATATACCACTCTTCCCCTGTATCAGCTTGGCCAATTCAGCATTAGGCTGAACTGGCACTTTGAGGGGATTCCTAGTTCCCCGCCAACAGCTGTAGAGGCTGGGCTCCAGTGCCAACTTCCTTTCTCCCTCGGGCCCTGCCCATAGCTGGTGCTTGCTGCAGCTTCCTGTGCCTTATTTAACCTCCACCCCCTTCCTTCCCTTGCCTAGGAAGGAGGCTGCACCTTTGTATGTTGTATTCATATAAACTTTGTAACTTTTTGAACATTTGAAGATGTATGTAATGGGGGAGGGTAGAAGAAAGAGTTGATGTGGGAAAAAACAAAGGGAACTATCTCCTATTCTTCAAGGATCAAATATCCTTAAGTCCAGGAGGGCAATTTTCATCACCGATAATGGGGAGGGCTGTTTGAACCATATGCCCCAAGTCAATATGGCTGCTTCCACTATCTTGGCCCCACAGAGTCCAGTGAGGTAGCTAATAACACTTCAGGATGGCTATTCCCATGGTCCAGTGTGACGCTTTGATCACTTTCTGTTGTGATGAGAGGCATCCTTTGGATAAGACATGTTCCAGCTCTTTTCCTTCTAAATCCTCCTCTTCTTTGGGAGTGTGGTGGACTTGATCCTTCCTGAACCAGCCAAGGGAGCTTAGGCCCTCAGAGGCCAAGGAGCAGGGTATGGAGGAAACATTTGTCAGTGACCAACTGTGTGCTCCCCTGGACATTTCCTGTATCTGCCTATAGCAAGTGGGATCTCCCAAGGTGGGAAAGTCTGCTCCTGTCAAGACCTTATTCTGGTTCTGCTTAATCTTACATGGCAGGCCCTGAGGGGCCAAGGCATTCTGTGCTGGTGTCCATGGCTAAGACAGTAGAGCTCAGGACCGGGCCAGGACATAACGACTGGCAGCAGAGAGGTCCCACTGGTAGTGCTCCAGGATGCGCCAACAGTCCATTCTAGACCGGCTACTCAGGTGGAAGAGTTGGTCTACCTGAAGGATCAACAGGGAGGGAGCTGAATGACAGATAGGAGGGCAGGAGAAGAAGGAGCCTGGGAGAAGGGTCTGGCTTTACCTTGAGGTTCCGGATGGCAGAAACAACATCTCCCCCAGTGGCTTTTAGTGCTGCTTGGCACTCCTGGTGAGTGACTCCATGCACGTTCAGCTCCATCTGTGGGGACAAAACTTCACTCAAGTTCCTGCCCTATTCTCTAGGCCTTTCTGGACAGCAGGCCCATTTCAGTGAGACCTCACCTCTGTAATCTTCCTCTGCCACTCAGGGTCAAGCAAGAGGCCTCCAGAAGAGACAGTGGCTTTACTGGCTCCAGGCACTCCAATGCGGTGATTGTGTGGGGGTTCTCTTTTGGGCCAAGGAGGTCGTTCCCTAGGGGGCTGGCTGGGCTGAGAAGAATTGGAGGTAAAAGGCAGGCGTGGAGGCAGGCCTGGGGGTCCTTGAGGCACAGCTCTTGCATGTCGAAGTTCAGGGGGGCTTGAACCACCCCCTGTAGGGCGAGGGCCCAAGGACAGAACTGACTCCAAACTCTTGGAAATACCTGCACAGTTAAGAAAGAAACTTGAGAGGAGGCTCAGGTGCTAGGTCCCACCTTCTTCCTGCTTTCTATCTTTGTTTTGAGCTGGATGGTTTTATAAGAACTTTCAGATGAGCTAGTTGAACTTGACCATGTTTATAGGTAAGATGATAAAAGACATATACAAGTGGGCATCAAGACCTAGGCAGCTGAGGGACCAAAGACCAGAGAACTCAAAGGTCAAAGTGGGGAAGGAAGGAGGACTTCAAATCTCTTAAGATCTTCAATTATCGGAGCTGGGGTTGTGGCTCAGTGGTAGAACACTTGCCTAGCATGTGTGAGGTACCGAGTATGATTCTCAGCACCCCATGTAAATAAATGAACAAAACAAAGGCCCATCAATGTCTAAAAAAAAATATTAAAAAAAAAAAAAAAGATCTTCAATTGTAGCTGGCCACTATGGCATATGCCTGTAATCCCAGCAACTCTAGAGGCTGAGGCAGGAGGATTGCAAGTTCCAGGCCAGCCTCAGCAACTTAGCAAGGCCCTAAGCAATTGCACAAGACCCTGTCAAAATAAAAAGGGAGGGGGATGTAGCTCCGTGGTCAAGTGCCCCTGGGTTTAATCTTTAGTATCAAAAAAAAAAAAAAAAAAATCAAGTATAGCTAGAATTACCACCGGCAGAATTTGAAGGAAGAAATCATGTATGCAAAGGCATGAATCCTGCATACCCACCTTTCATCCTCTGCAAGGGTGCCTTCCTTCTCTGGCCCCATGCTGGAGGTAGATCCCGAGGCTTTGCCTTCTCTCTGTCCCTGTCAGAGAATAATCCAGTTCATCCTCCATACCTCCTCCACATACATATTATCAATGTCACCTCCTAAAGAAACTGGTGCTCCCAGGCATGCTGAGACCTAGGGTGGAAACTCCTCCTGGGAGACAAGTACAGCCTGTCTCCAGTTTGTCCTAGTCGTATTCCTAAGTTTCCCATTCAAAGAAGTTGCTGTACATAGCCCATTCCCCTAGTCCAGCCTAGCCCAGTTCTATCCCCAGCCTTTCAGCTCCTTACCCATCTATGCTTCCCCTGTGTTGCTCTCCTCGGGCTGGAGAGCCTCTGTGGACTGGGCGGGTGGCTGGAGAGCCCCCCAAGTCTGCCAGCGTCACTGCTGAGGCTGGGAAACTGCCCACTTTAAAGGTGCGTCCATTCTGTCCCTTCCAGGTTGTGGAATCTGGGCTGTGGGAAGAGAAGCTGGTGAAGGGGATGTAAGCAAGGGGAAAAGTGGCAGCTAGGCTTGGGCACATTCAGCTCACTATGCCTTGTGGCTTTTTCTGCCTGGAGGAAGGGAAGCCTTTTTCTCACCAACACAAAAGGTTCTCTATGGGTCAGCTGGGGCTCCAGCAGGGAGACTGGGACTGCACTGGAGCTTAGGGCCCAGCAGGGAAGGGAGAAGACACAGAAGACCAGGGTTCAAGGAGTTAGAAAGAAACAGAGAGGGGACCAAGAGTCAAGAAGGCTGGGAGTGGGTGCCTCCCCTGGGGGTCCCTGGGGAGTGCTAGGCTGTCACCTGCCCTCAATGATAGTAATGGGGTCACCGGGCTCCATCCGCAGGGCTCCTGGCTCTGTGACACTCCTCACGCAGCGTCCTTCAGAAGGCCAGGCCTGTGAAGACAGAAGGAAACAGCTGGGCTTTTGGCCTGAGTCAAAAGGGTAATATGGGAGCAGGGCAGAAAATAGACCTCCCTCTGTTTATATAGCTACCAGTCATACCCATACCAGGTGTGTCCTCTGTGCTGGGTTCCAGTGGGATTATCCTTACCTCTCAGGTGTAACCCAGTGGGGGAGGCCAGTCTGGATTCCATGCCAAATTGGACAAAGCCCAGGGTTCAGAAAGCAACAAAGGAAAGCCCTGTCTCTGCCTAGGGGGACCAAGGGGACGGCCATCCTGTTCACCACTTTTATCCTACACTCAGGCCCATCAGGTTGGCCTCCTAAGGCACCTCTGCAAAATTTCCACTCCTCTCCAGTCCTACTGCTTTGACCCTCACCCTGACCTCTTCATCTCACTTCTGTTTCACACTCTTTGTCAGTGTCATCCCTCTAAGTTATTCCTGGACCAGGCTAAAGTGAAATATTGTTGACTTGTGATTCCCCTGTTCAACACCCTTCCACAACTCCCAAATGCCCTCAGAGTGAAGACTAAACCCCTTTAATAGTAGAATGTGGTGATTTAGGGAAAAGCTCAGAAGTCACATTAATTAGAGCTGATCCCAACTCCTCGGCTTCTTGTGTAACTTCAGGCAACTTCTAAATTGTCATTGCCTCAACTGCCCCATCTCTTAAATGGAGATGAAAATAATTACCTCATGGTATTATTGAGAGAACTAAAATACTGAACAGGCATAAGGATACCTGTAAAGTATCCTTAAATACAGTATCTCACATAGATCAAGTGCTCTTTGTAGTAGCAGTGGTCCTCAACATGCCCTAGGAAACGCTCCATAATGCTCACCTCTGTGGCCTCATTACTTCCTTTTCCCCTCCCACGTGGAACCTCTCTTCCTTTGCTTGTAAAACGCCCATGGAGGGGGTGGGGGTGGGGGTGGGGAATGACCTGCCGCTTGCTCTCCTCAGTGCCCCCTTCTCTGGCTTAGACAAGGCCTCCAGCCCTTCAGCCTGCATCTGAGTAGCCACGCCTCCACCCGCCCCTCCCCCACCCTCCTCCGGGGCTCTGAATCTGTTTTGTTTACAGCTGGGTCCCACAGCCCTACGTAGACCTGCGGATATGTTAGTTTTTTTAAACCCACCTTGCTAGAGATTGACCCCAGGACCTCATGCATATTAGGCAAATGCTTTACCACCAAGCTATACTCCCAGCCTTTTAAAATTTTTAACTTTGAGACTGGGTCTAGCTAAATTGTTCATATTGTTCTCTTAACTCTTGTGTTCGTCCTGTCTCAACCTCCCGGGTCTCTGGGATTAGAGGTATGCACCACAGCCACCTGGCTAGGTGATATTTGTCTAATGTATGAAATCCTGGGAGAGAGAATGAAGGAAAGAGAGACTGGATCTGGGGAGTTGCAGGTCCCCACCTCTTGCAGCAACCCTTCCAGGCAGGAAAAGCTAGGCCGGTCCGCAGGGTGAGGGGCCCAGCAGCGTAAGGCGAGGGAGTAGAGGGCCCTGGAGCACAGGGGAGGCCTTGGAAGCCGAGCTCGGTCCTTCTCCAGCCGCTGCAGGATGAGGTATGGTGGAACCCCAGCCCAAGGTTCCTCACCCCCAGAGAACATCTCCCACAAGGTCACTCCAAACATCCACACATCAGAGGCTGATGAGAAGGCTCCCTGGCGCAGGCTCTCTGGGGCACACCTGCGGAAGTGGAAGTTGATGGGGGCTGGACATGTATACCTGGGAGTTTGCCTCTCGCTGGGCACCCATCCCCTTGATGCACCTACCCGCTGGATGCTCCCATCATCACTTCCTTGCCCTCCCAGACCCCACTATCCCTCTGACTGCCCTAGGCCTGCAGTTCTTCAGATCTGCCTCCCAGGCTCCAGTCTGACCACCCACATGCGTTGCTCTCACCAGGCATAGGGGATAGGGCGGGGCCCGCCCATGACGTAGCGGCCCCGGGCCCCGCCCAGCGGCCGCACCAGCCCGAAGTCTGCCACCTTGATAGTGCGTGGCGAGGCCAGCAGCAGGTTGCGTGTAGCAAGGTCCCGGTGTACCAGTCCACGGGCCCC